AGGCTGCCAAGGAAAAGCTTGGCAGGAACACATATTCTCAAACTCTCCAGCTATCTCTATATATTGATGTCTGCTGATTGTTGACCAAACCGGCATAGAATCATGAGACACTCAGATCTGGGCAGGGGCCTCAGAGGTCATCTCATCCAGAGCATGAATCCTATCTACAATATCTCCTAAGAAGTGGCCCCTGCTCAAACATCGCTCGTTCACTTGTTTCAGTTGTGTCTGACTTTTTGTGACCCCGTTTGGGTCTTGGCAAAGATACCGCAGTGGTTTGCCATTTCCTTCTCTAGCTCATTTCACAGATGAGGAAACTGAGGCAAAATCTGAGGCCAGATTTGAACTCATACCTTCCTGCCTCTGGGCCCTGTGCTGTGTCCACTGAAGATTTCTAGTGAAGGGGATCTCTTTGTCTCTGAAGGCAGCTCTCACTGCCCAGGCAGTGCTTGAACCAAGCAGCAGCAGAAACCTCTTCCTGAACCCCTCCAAGGGAAGCCTCTCCTGCTCACAACAGATTTTTACTCCATTGGTTTTTCCTCTTTTAACTGTGACAGTGGCATTGCTGGCTTAGGAGGGTTAGGATAGCTTTGAGTTAGTGAATCCAGCCCACTTGGTCATACGTTTGGGTGTCTGTGTGAGTTATTTTTCCACCAGCACGTCCTCTGAGAAGCAGGAACAGGGAAGGGAGGAAGGGAGATAAGCACCCTGGAAAGAAAGGTAAGGTTCACAACTTTTCTGGAGGCTGAGTCTGCAAGAGGATTTAGCTACAGCCAAAGGAAGAGTGTTGTCTTCCAAAGAGAAAGCCTTGGTAGAGTGAAGGATCATGCCCCGAGGGGCTTCTAAACCTGGCGCTCCCATGTCTAAAAACAGAAATGGAGGCTAAAGGAGGTGGGGCATGTCCTGGAAATGGGCAACCCAAGCAATGTCAGGCCTCGCTGATGTGCACCTTCTGGTGCCAAGATGATAGTAAGAGAATCTGAGAAGAGTCCATTAAGGACAAATAGCCCAGCCTTTGTTTCTCTCTCTCTCTTTTTTCCCCAGATAAACATTGAATTACAAGTGCCTCCCACCCAGGTATTTCAAGGACCCATGAAATAGGAAGGGCCTCGGGTTGGTACAGTGGATGAATCCTGGGCTGGCACTGGGGCCCTGCTTCTCTGGGAACCATCACAGAGCTAGTACTTTAAACTTTCTGCAGCTCTTCCTTGCAACTTGTTGCACATTGAAACAAGTCACTGTGCATAATGAATTCATTGGTTGCAGTTGCAATAAAAGTCTTTAAAAACTATGGCTGACTCTCTAAAGAAGCAAAGTCTAGTTTCATAAGTCAATCCCTACCCTGCACCTTAGCCTTCTGCGTCCATACAGGATAAGCAAACCCTGGAATCTTCAACTGTGGGGACAAATCAAATACCAGTTGCCCCTGGACAAAAGTAGCCTTGACCCTTGGCATTTTCTCCTATCGTTGGAGACCAGCCCAGTTCTAACACAGGCCCATAGATACATTTGTGGCAGAACCCTGGACATCTGGTACAAAGCACTCTGGGAATTTGGGCAATTCATATGATTCAGGGGTTCTGGGGTAGTTTTGTAGGTCTTGCCTTAAGGTCTTGTTCAAATTGATCCTGGAAACTTAATCTTTTAGATTAAGGATAATTTTATCTTTCCCCACCCCCAAACCTTTCTACCCTCACATCAGAGTCCATATTGTTGACTATGTCCCAGTGTTGATAACTGGTGCCTTTTATAGAAGTGAGTCTCAAATGATTTGTCCATCTGGCTATTAGTTCTGACACTCCTAGGGGTGACCAACCTTGAATTTAGGGCTCTCAGTATGCGGGCTGATCAAGTCAAAAAACCTTGGGACCTAAAGGCTTTGGTGCCAGGGTGGGTGTTTCACTGGTTTATTTCCTTTTTTATTTCTGTGTACCACTCTAGAAAGGAGCCAGTGTTGGAAGTGAGACTGTCCCTCCCCAGGTTTCTTGCTTTGTCTATTACTCTAAACCTCTGACTGTTCTTATAAATGAGGTGAGCTCCCAGCTTCCTCACACCTGCTACCCTCTTCCTTACCAAGGTGGGAGATATGAGGGAAGAGCAGGGGAGTGTTGCAGATAGAGGGGCTTGTCCAAGAGATCAACAGAAGTACATTTTTATCAGGCAGTTTTCAGATGAAGAAATTAAAGCTATCTATAGTCATATGAAAAAAAATGCTCTAAATCACTATTGATTAGAGAAATGCAAATCAAAACAACTCTGAGATACCATGTCACACCTATCAGATTGGCTAACATGACAAAATAGGAAAATGATAAATGTTGGAGATGATGTGGGAAAATTGGAACACTAATGCATTGTGGGTAGAATTGTGAACTGATCCAACCATTCTGGAGAGCAATTTGGAACTATGCCCAAAGGGCTATAAAAATGTGCATGCCCTTTGACCCAGCAATAGCACTTCTAAGGCTGTAGCCCAAAGAGATCATAAAAATGGGAAAAGGACCCACATGTACAAAAATATTTATAGCATCTCTTTTTGTGGTGGCCAAGAATTGGAAATTGAGGGGATGTTCATCAATTGGGGAATGGCCAAGCAAGTTGTGGTATATGAATGTAATGGAATACTATTGTGCTATAAGAAATGATGAGCATGCAGACTTCAGAAAAACCTGGAAAGATTTACATGAACTGATACTGGGTGAAGTGAGCAGAACCAGGAGAACATTGTACACAGTAACAACCCCATTGTGCGATGACTAACTTTGATAGACTTAGCCCTTCTCAGCAATGCAAGGATCCAAGACATCTCCAAAGGTCTCATGATGGAAAATGCTATCCACATCCAAAGAAAGAACTATGGAGTTTGAATGCAGATGGAAGCATACTACTTGCTATTTTTTTCTTCTGTTTTGTTTTGTTTTCTCTTTTTTGTGGTTCCTCCTATTGGTTCTAATTCTTCTTTACAGCAGGACTAATGTGAAAATACGTTTGATAGGAATGTATATGTAGAGCTTATATCAGATTGCATGCTGTCTTGGGGAGGGAGTGGGAGAAAATTTAAAACTCAAAGGCTTATGAAAGTGATTGTTGAAAACTAAAAATAAATTGATTTTAAAAAATGGAAAAAATACATTTTCATGGCCATGTAACTTATTTCTTAGAAGTTTTATGCTTTATTTAAATTTATTTCCTCTTTCTCTTTAATTCTGTAGTATGATTTTTTAAAAAACCATGATTTTATCTCATTTGAAACTGAAAAAGGCTGGCTTACCTGGCTAGAAAAGGAGGGGGCAAGTCAAGTCAGAGTTATACCAGGCTGGGAGAGAAAAAGAAAGGGGAAAGATTCTGTATTGCCTTGTCGGGGCTTGGCGACAATTGCAGGCAAGGGGGACTGAGAGATATGGAGGGAGAGGTGTTTCACAGGGAACAACTTACCACAGCTGCCTATTGTGTGTTTAACTTACGAAGTCTTGTAGAGGCAACTAGGTGGGCACAGGGGATAGGGCACTGGGTCTGGAGTCAAGAAGACGAGTTCGAGCCTAGCTCCAGACACTAGCTGTGCAACTCTGGGCAAGCCACTTCACCATGGTCTGCCTCAGTTTCCTCAACTGTAAAGTGGTCATAATAATAGTATCTGCTTCCCAGGGTGGTTGTGAAGATCAAATGAAATATTTGTAAAACACTTAGGGCAGTGCCTGACACACAGCAGGCGCTTAATAAATGCTTACCCTCCCACTGTCCCTCCAGCCTCCTCAAACACACTCTTATCTCTGAGGAACCAGGCAGCTCAGATATTTGGTTTCTTTTATTCAGAGAGAAAACAACATCCAAAGATGAAAAACCCAACAGGAACACAACCCAAACAGGAAGGGAGAAGTGCTTTCTGCACCATCTCCATGCAGGGAGAATATAACTTAGAAGAGCAGGCAGCGGTGAGACAGACAATGGAGGGGGTGGGGTTCGGAAAGAGGGAGGGGACCCTGGGCCTGAAGCCATTCTTGTCATACTCCAAGCCCAGAGCTGCAGGGGGACTGGGCCCAGGCAGAGGGAGCATCAGGTGGGGCTGAGTGTGCAGACAGAATGACAGCCAGGGATGTACACCCACTGAGAAGAGTGTGCAGGCATAGGAACTCACGTGAGGATGGTTAAAAATCTCCGGGAGAACAGGGTTCTATGGTCCACAATGGATCCTTGGCAAAGCTGGGTGTATCCCGTGGGAAATAGGGAGAGACCTTTTCTCCTTTGGGAGACAGCCAGCCATGCCCGAGCCCCAGAGCAAAGCCGAGAGGAACTAGGGCAAAAGTAGCAATTCAAGGGAATTGGGAGCAGGGCAGAGATATCTGTCCCATTTCTGGAGGACAGAGGTCCCCTGTGCTCTTATTGGAATGTGTTCCTGCAATGGGATTATTTGGGGTGGAGGAGGTAGGTGGAGTGTTTGGTGTGGCCCTGTGTATCTTGGTTTGCATCTTCCTGTGATGTTATTCTATAGCCTAGGGTTCACCATGATTTTCTGTTGGTGTTATGCAAACCTTACTGGTTAGGGCACTGGAAGGGTTAGGAGATTGTAACCCAATTGGGGATTTCCATTACCAAGTGTAAACCTTGGCAAAGTGTATGGGGGGTGGGGGGGGAGAGGGGGCACCTAGTTTACGACCAACCCTTGCTCTGGCAGCCTCACTACTTGGATCTGGACTGAGGGGAGTGGTAGCCCTGGAGTCAGAATGAGAAATTTAGGAACCAAATGAGGGAGGTGAGGCCTCTGAAACCTAGGGCTTCCTGGAGAGCCCACGGAGCTCAGTTTGCTACTTACTGGGCCACCCCATGGGCGCCCAGGGCAGAAGACAAACAGTTCAAATCACAGAAATTCCAAACACAGAAGCAGCTGGGCCCAGAAGAGTGGGAGCGGGGCGTTCAGGCCCCCAGCAGCTTCTTGACCATGTAGCCAGGGAGGCTGTAGAGAAAGAGGGCGAGCATGAGCAGCCCCAGCAGGGCCAGCACAATCTTGATAATGAGCCACTTGTATCGGGTGCAAATGAGGTACTTGATGGACTTCAGAGGGTTGAGGAACCAGACAAAGGCAGTATCTGGCCGGCTGGGGAGAGGAAAAAGATTTGAGTTGGGATGTTTAACAGAGTAACCAATGCGTGCCTACCCAACCAGCTGCTCTTGTAATTTGGCCATTGGGCGCTGCATCTGTCAAGAGACTGTGTGCGGTAGTGTTGGAAACACTGGACCTGGAGGCAGGAAGATACAGGTTCGAGTCTTGCTTCAGACATTTCTTAGTTGTATGGCTGTGGCTTTGAAAGGCACTAAGTCTTTTTGTCTAAACAGCTTGTAATGATAGCACTTATCTCAGAAGGTTGTTGCAAAGCCCAAATTAGATAACGTATGCAAAGTGCTGCCCATATCCTAAAGCTTGCTATAAATTCAAGTTATTGTTTTTATTACTCCAGATGGTACTACCTGACATTATCCAAACCTGGCCTGCCCTCTCCTGCCCCTGTAGGCTACCCTGCATGTTCCTCCACATCATTGGATGAAAACTTTTTCATCCTCAAAGTCATGAATCAATTGATACTCCATAAACTAGAAATTATTCCCTCCCTCCCTCCTTAGTCTTCTGATGCCTGACTCCTTCTATGCACTGAATTACATTCTAATCTGTTTGGTTTTTTGTTTGTTTTTTGGTCTAGGCAATGGGGTTAAGTGACTTGCCCAGGGTCACACAGCTAGTAAGTTTACATTCTAATTTGTATGATTATCTGTGTTCACGTCATTCTCCTAGGGAGGGACCACTTGGTTTTTCACTTTTGTACTGCCAGCACCTAGCAAGCCGCACAAGACATTATATTTCCTACCTCCCACCTCTGGTCTCACAAGTCTGGAATGCACTCCCTCTTTACCTCTGCCTTGTAAAACCCCTGGCTTCCTTCAAAGCCCAGTTCTGGTGCTATGAGCTGTATGAAACCTCTCCCGGTCTCCCCAGTTGTTGATGCTTCCCCACTCTTGAAATTACTTTGTATTTACGTATCTGTGTGCTTGTTGTATATAGTAAACTGTAAGCTTCTTCAGGGCAGGACAGTTTTATTTTTGTAATTCAAGTGCTTTGTACATAACAGGCACTTAATAAATCTGAGTTGAAGTTTTTTGAAGTTAAAAATGGAAGAAACAACAAATGTTTAGATTGAATTTCACTGAACCTATCACAGAGGGAGTAAATTCTAGGCTGGGAGCGTGGGTTCTTAGGTTCTATTTGGGATTTGCTAGCTGTCCCTGGGGTAGCCCTTTTCCCCTTTTGTGTTCCAATCTGCTGATAAAGATTGTGTTTACAATTTCTTTGGAGAATTCTCCCTCTTCCCACAAGGAAAGGAAAGATAAGGGAAGGGAAAAAAAGGGAAGAGAGGAAGAAAAGGAAAGGAGGGTTGCTTTTTTCAGCAGTGGAGTCCTTGGAGAAGGCAGCAAAGGGGAGAAGTACCAGACCATTGAGGACTAAAGCACGCTTAGGCACCAATGATCTTCTTGACCAGGTAGCCAGGCACAGAGTAGAGAAAGAGGCCAATGAGGAGGAGAAGAAGCACCAGCAGCAGGATCTTCAGCAGAAACCAACGATACGTGTGCCACAGGAAGTAACGAGCAGACTTGAGAGGATTTAAAAACCAGATGAAGCTGGTGTCCGGCCGGCTGGGGTGACAAGAGGAAACAGAAGATGAAGGGCAGGATTGGCGAGAAAAGAATGCAGGGAAAGGGAAGGCAGGAGTAGGAGGGCATGAAAGAGAGAGAGAGAGAGAGAGAGAGAGAGAGAGAGAGAGAGAGAGAGAGAGAGAGAGAGAGAGAGAGAGAGAGAGAGAGAGAGAGAGAGAGCGCAAAGATATAGGAAAGGCAGACCCCAGAGGCATCCCCTGACTTTGGTCATGGTGAGTGATGGCCAAAATTCTGTAGGGTATCATTTTGCCTTAAACCAAATGGTCTTTATATCTTGAAAAATTTATATGTTCTGAAAAAAGCAATAGATTGTAACTTAATCAGTCATTTTTATCTGAATATGAGTTTTTTTAGCTTCTTTCCTGAGATCAGGTTTAGAGAGGTGGGAGAGGGAGAGATAAGGAACACTGAACACCTGAGGAGGGCACCTGGCCTGAAAAAGGAGAGGGGAGGATGGGAGTTTTGTGGAGAGTCTGTCCTAGACATAGGAGAGGAACAAATAGGGGGATGAGGACTAGGAAAGAACTTGCTGCTAGAACTTTCTTGATCCTAGGTTGTTTCTGGTCTGGTCACTCTCTTTTAGGAACTGGCCCTAAGACTATTTGGTCTTAGGACAATGAGATCATTACAAGTAAGGTAGATTTTGTTATTCTTTTTTAGATAATAATTCCAGGATCCCACATACTAATTCCCAGGATCCATGGCCAAAACACTCTCTAGTTGCCAGGTTTTCACATTCTAAACAGTTTCTACTGTGACTGGGCAGTGAGATACAGGGATGAGAAAATGTAAGCAGCTTACTATGTTTGCTCAGGCCTAAGTCAGCATGATATTGCTAAAGTTAACGTAAACTTGTTAGGCTATTGCTGGCTAGATGCCTTCTTTGTGTGCTTCTCTATAGAGCACTGGTCAGTGAGTGGGGATTTTGGAAATGTGACAGTGTAGTGCAGTGGTCGCATTAACCAGTCCCCACGGAGGCGTAGGGGGAAGCAGACTAGCTGGAATGCTGTGCATGCCTTGATCAGCCCCCATCAAGGCTTGTCGAGATTTGTGACTGTCTGTGCTTATCTCAACTGGCCCGCATCGAGATTTAGGGGATGCCAGGAGTTGGTACCCTTATTCTCCCCCACCCATTTGAGAAGAGTAATTAATTAGGGGAAGCCATAGGAGTTGGAGCTCCCATTATCAGCAACCCACTCGAGAGGAATAAGAATAAATTAATATTTAATCCCTCCTAAGCTGTCTTCCTGTCCTGCTGGCTGCCCAGAGCAAGAGTGAACCTGTTAGAGACTGGAGCCCAAAACCTTCAATGGCTCCTCCTGTGCCTCCTGTCTTATGATCATAGATTAGAGCTGGAAGGGGTTTTAGCATTTCATCCTCATTTTACAGATAAAGAAGCTGAGGCCAAGAGGCATTAAGTGACTTGGCCAAGGTCACACAAGTGATAGGGATTGAAGAGCTGGGATTTAAACCTAGGTCCCCCAACTCCAGGTCCAGAGCTTTTTCCATCATCCTATACTACTCCACCCCACCCTCACACTTATCCTAGAATCTTTCAGGCCTGGGGCATTTTGAAGTCTCAGAATATTAACAGAATTGAAGCATCTAGAAAGTGGGCCAGAAAGTGGTGTTCTGGGAGAAGAAGGTAATATATTTAGGAATCCTCTACTGGGATGGGAGATTGGGATGAAGGGCTGGGAAGGGTTGAAGGGGAAGAGAAGAGCAAGGAGGGCAAAGAAATCTGAACTTACTTAGGTTTCTCCAAAGGGTCTGGTTCATTTCGTGCTAAGCCCACAGGGTTCTTCTCCGCCTCCTCAGCAGTTAATAGATGCAACTCTGCCTCCACTTTTCCCTAGAGAGATACACAATTTCACAGACACTGCCTAGTTCAGCCAAGAGGTCCAGAACTGTAGTCATGCTCACCACTATTCCCTCAACCTTCCTGGTCCCCACCTTTTCCTAGGAAGAGGGAGAGTTGTGCCATGATCCTTACAATTAGTTACATGTACCCAGCTCTCAGCACTATAAAGTCCTAATTTGTTAGGACCCACCCAACCCCCCAGTTCTATTGTTCTCCCCTCTAGTGGCCTCCTGGCTTTTCCATGAACAAGACACTCCATCTCATCTCTGGGCATTTTCTCTGGATGTGTCCTGTTCCTGGAATCTCTTCTCTGCTCTGACTAATGAGCTCCTTGACTTCTTTAAGTCCCAGCTAAAATCCCGATTTCTACAAGAAGCCTTCCTTAATCCCCTTTAGTTCCAGTGCCTTCCCTCTGTTAATTATTTACTATTTATCCTATACACAACTTGCTTTATATATGTTTGCATGTTGTCTTCCCCCATTAGACTGTAAACTGCTTGAAAGCAAGGACTGTCTTGCCTCTTTTTGTATCCCCAACACTTAGCACGATGCCTGGCACGTAATAGGCGCTTCTTTCCCTGTCTGTCTTCCACTTCTATCCTTATTGTGTCTAAAGATGAAGTGCTCACCGTAAGCTCAAACTCATCATTCTCATTCCGGGCCAACAAGGGCCACCAGCCTTTGACACGCTTCTGTTTGAAGATGGAGACCAAGGGTACCTCCACCTCCCCAGTGGCCATCTCCATGGAGCACTGCTTGGCCGTCTTGGCGCCTCGGGGGAACCTGTTCAGGTCCAGCTCAATGGCACCTGTTGCATGGAGAGCATTGAGGTATTCAGTGTATCTTCCTGCCAGGTACCCCATTCCACTTTTCTAGGGTGGAAACTGTCCAGAGAATTTGAGCCCTTTTTCATCCCAATTCCTCTGTTCCGGGTCTCCAGATCCCTCTTGTATCTCTCACAGAATCTCAATCTCCTTCTTCTCTCTCTAGAATCCACCTCTTTTCCTCTATCCCTCACCCCCCCTGCCTTTTCCTTTATCCCCCAGTTTTCCTCTCCTCTGGGTGGCCCCCTCTGTCTTGCTCCTCTCTGGTCGCACCCAAGAAGTCATCAGCAGAGAAGTGGTCTGCGTCCCAGATCTGCAAGGTGAGCCGAGCAGGGATCTTGTACTCTGTCTCATCCCAAGAGAACATGGACTCCTTCTTGGAGATGACGATCTTCTCCTCGGCTGCCAGGTAGTCGAAGGGGAACAGGTAGCGCCAGTTAAAGTTCCCCTCGCCAGTCAGGGAATGATAGTGAACATCAGTATCTTGTTTGTCTTCTTGCTGCCCCTTCAGCCACCTGTGGGGAGGTCATTATGGAAGCTCTTAGACCCTGCTGCCCATGTACACATCCCGGCCTCACCTCTGCCCCAACTTTTCAGTTTCCCTGGCCCCCTTTTCCCTGGCATGCTCCCTTAGCCTTTGGAGGTTGGCTCAGTGGTTCCTAAGGTCCCAAAGTGCATATTGTGTGCCTTCTATTTTCCCCTCCCCTAATAGGGATGCCCTGACCCTTCTGTCCTCCCTTCCCCTCCCCAGCTAACCAGACAAAAGGCTTTCTCCTTCAAAGCCATCCTTAAGCCTTCCAAGCTCACTGTGCCCCTGCTCACCCCCGCACGAAGATGTCACTGGATTTTTCCCCTGTAAAAAAGTCATCATCCTCTAGCACCACTTCATCTGTGTTCCATACAATGACTCGCAGCTCATACCTGAGTAATAATAGTAATTAATAATAACAAATAGCAGCAGCAGTGATGGAGGCTAATTTCATTATTATAGGGAACTCCTAGATGAATAACCTCCCTCTGGCAACGCAGATTGGTGTCTTCTGCATAAATTACAGTCTTAGAGAGTTGTTCAGGGAACCTAGAGTTTAAGTAATTTGCCCAGGGTCACCCAGCTTGTGTGTGTATGTCATAGGTATTACTTGATTTCAGGTCTTCCTGTCTCTAAGCCCAGCTGTCCATCACACTGACAAGCTGCACGCTCGATACTTTCTCCTCCTCTTCCTATTACTAGATACATACATGATAAACAGTTCACAAACCTGCAGAAATACTTTTGAAATAAGTAGATATCACTTCAAGCAAGAGTGAAAGCTTGATAACAAGTACAAGCCATTGGATTAATAAGATATAGGCCTTTGTATATCTATATACATATATATACACATACACACACATATATGAAAGTGGTTTATCTCCACATGGGGCCTATAAAGTGGTTAAGATCCAAGAATGGAATCACAAGGCCCTCAAAGGGCAACATGCACATAAATTTAGCCAACAATGTATTATCAAAGAACATTGAGGGGCAGCTAGGTGGCACAGTGAATAGAGGTCCGGCTTTGGAGTCAGGAGGACCTGGGTTCAAATCTGGGCTCAGACACTTGACACTTACTAGCTGTGTGACCCTGGGCAAGTCACTTAACCCTGATTGCCTCACCAAAAAGAAAAAAAAAGAACATTGAACAAATGGCTGATTCATGTAGACTTGATTGTGGAAATGGAGGGGTTTTTGATGGTAGTTCAGGATCAGATCACTGTCAATTGAAATTATAAAAGGGCCATCCTTAGGGAATATGGGTTTAGTGATTAATGTAGATTATGTAAGGAAATGGTAGAAATTGCACATCATTGCCGCAGTCTATAGAAACTTAGTGCCAACTAAATATTTAGCAAGACATGATCCAAGGGCTAGAGATACATGCCAGAAGCTCACTCCCTCTCAAGGACTGAAAGACAGCAAGTCCTCGTGCTTCATGTATAGATAGATCTCCAAATATCCTGAATAGCTAGACTACTGTACCTGGACCATTACCACAGACTGTTGAACTGCTGTGTTTGGTTGTGACATTCATAAAAACTTAAGAACAAAGTTTTAAATAGATGTTGATATAAGAAATACTCATAATTTCCAAGCTACATGGAAGCTTTCAAAATATAGAGACCTAACAGAGTAGATCAAAATCACTTTGGAAGAAGGTGAGGTATGTCTCCATGATCCCTGCTGTTCTGTCTGCTCTGGAGTGGTACCAAGGCTGCTTTCAATGAACCTGCAGAGGATGAGCTTACATCCTAATACTTTTATCCAGCTACAAAAGCAGTTATTTTATTTACCTGTACAGGAGTCATAGACTATTAAATATGAAAGAATAATAGCAGCATAGACACTTAGAGATGTTTCTATCTGAACTCTATTGAATAAGCTGAAAATGAGGTAATAATAATAATAATCCCTTCCATTTATAAAGTGCTCTATGGTTTATATGTCCATTATCGTACAAATCTTTGCAGCAACTTTGTAATGACAGAGATTATTATTCCCATTGTAAGATAGATAAACTGAGGCTCAGGGAAGTTAACTTCTTGTCCAAGGTCGTAGTGTTAGTAAGTGATGAAGTCCGGGTTAGAACTCTCCTGTTTCCCATATGGTACTTTTTCTGGATAAAGAAGTAAGTATGAGAATAAAAATCTGATATTCTGAGATGAGGAACTGGGAGAACAGAGGTGAGAAGGTTGTATTAAAATTGAGGAGGAAACCTATGGAAAGGAAAATAGACAGGGCAGAGGAGGACTGGGTAGAGCAGCAGGACTTATACGCAATAGCAACCCCATGTTCAATAGGTCAGTCAGTATGCAATGGTGCTCTGGGAAGACATAGAAGGAAATAAAGACAGTTCTTGATCTCTTCATCTTATACTCCTTGCATCTTCTTTAACTCACAAAACCTGAGTCCTACCCCTGACAAAACCCCCTGCCCCTTTTCTGCAGAAGATCCTGGATCCTTGGTCAGTGTTTCCAGTACTGGCTCCATCTCTGATCCCTCCAACACAATGGCCCAGGAAGTGAACAGTCCTATTCCTTACTTCTTGTTATATCCAGACTCTTCCTCTTCTGCCATCAGTGGGTAACTTTGCTTTCCTTTCAGGTTTTCTCCCCTACTCTATGACATCCTAGTCAGATCTTGGTGGCAGTTATCAGCCCTACATCATTCTCTTTTCTTTCTTAAGGAGTTAATTCATACTAACTCCTGTTAGTTCACAGTCTTTCCCCCCAACCCTTTCCCCGAGATTTGGAAACTATGTATCATACCTCTCTCAGACTCAGTTTCTTATGTAAATGAAAGAGTCAGGCTGAATTCCTTTTACCTAGAATGGTCTTAGAGTCTATTACTCACTTTTCAGGAATTCTTTCAGGATCTGGGGAACTGCTCCAGCCTGATAAATCATTCTTTCCATTTCACCCAGATAAACATCCCCTGTACATATTTAGCCCTTTTGTGTCTCCAAGATTGCAAATGTCATTTCCTCCCTCTAAAATACCTTTCTTTATGTTCTGGTGGTCTCCATCCTTTCCTTCTGAACATTTCTAAAGACTCATCTTTTGCAGAAATTACTCCAAATTAGCCTGACCTGACTTGCAATGGTCCAGGAAATTCCCTATCTTTTTTTTTCTTTCTGTGGCACCAGACCCACACTTGTGTTATGTGAAGTTACAGGTAAATGTGATCAAGTTTCTGTCTTTAGTGTTTCTGTGCACATAAAATGGTGTCCGGCCAGCGTCTGTTGTTGCAGTTCTAAGTTTCTCCAGGGCTAAGACTGTTTTCTACGTGACTTGCCTAGGGCTTTGTAGAACAGTTGGTGCTGAGTAGATATTTGTTGACTGATCAATGTGTATTTCCCTTTGAGGCCCACACACAAGCACCACCAAGACCTGAGAGCTCAGTAGGTGCTGGCTGACTGAAATCAGGCTGGGATTTTCTGGTGTATGTATGAGAACCTTGAAGTAGGAAAGACCAGCGTTGCTGAGTCTGGAAGAAAGAAAGAAGAGCCAGAGGGTCCTAGGAAGCTCACTTCTTGGGCTTTCGGGGTGAGATGTCCAAAGGTGTCCCAGGAGCAGGCATATCCATGGGGAACATATCCACCCACAGCTCCAGACGTCCCTGGAGAAGAAACAGATATTGTGGCCTCTGCCTTTTTCTGTTGCTTTGATAGACCCTAAACTTCTCTCAGAACCTGCCTCCACTCCTACACCCATAGCACCAATCCTGCCCCTCATTTCTTTTTCCTATCCCTTCCTTCTCTCTGTATTATAGAACTGTTACTAGACTTATTTAACACCAGACATAAATAGTTGTGGGAAGGAAAGGCGAGAGTTGTGCAAAGCTGTGTCTGATGGTGGCAGCAGGTTCAGGGACTGAGTGTGGCATACTGGGGGAGGGTGATGGAGGGAAGTCAAACTTCTTGCTGTGGGGTGGCCAAAAGGTAGGGGGATGGGAGTTTCTATATTTCAAGGGGTAAGAAGTGCACCCTGTCAAGTTTTGACACCTTGAGACAAAGCCCCAGATACCCTGCCTTAATTACAGTTCTATAGAAGCTTCAGAAAGCTTAGGGCTCCACAACCCAGGGACAAAGGAAGATTGATAGATGGATGGGATGAAGGAAATATATCCCCTATTCCTAACCATCCCCTCCCACTTCCATCTCTAACCCTTTCCCACAGGGCCCCCCTCACCTTCTCTATGCTCCTTTCTCTATCCAAGCTTCCAAAGATTCTGCTCTTATCCTTTGAGCTTCATACCCTTTGCCCTGACCTCACTGTCCTCACCTGCTCAATGCCTGGCTTGTCAGGGTTGAGCAGAGGTCGGGTCTCCACGTGTTCAGGTACCAGAGGACAGCCTACCCGGGGGATGTCCTCCCAGTGTCGTAAGGCAGCCAATGCCACATGCTCATCACTGGTCTTCCTCTGACCTATAAGGAGACAGGTCATAGCTTTAGGGCTGGAAGGGACCCTGAGAGTCATCTTGTCCAAACCTCTCGTTTTACAGGTAAGGAGACAGACCCAGAGGGGCTCAGTGACTTTTTTTTTAAAGTCACACAGGTAGTAAGGGGCAAAACCAGCATTTGAGCCTAGGTCCTCTGTTTCCATGCTGTCTCTAGGCACAACATGAGATCATGATGCCAAGGCGTGGGGGCCATGAAGTAGCTGGAGGAGTATGTTAGAGAATAGAAAGATGATAGATAAAGCAGATCTGAGAGAATAGGACTCAGAGACATGCAGGGTTCTCCTAGAATTTCCTCTAATGTGGGGACAGAGCGGGTACTGAGTTGAGTAGCTACTGTTAATATAAGACAGGAAGGAAGGGATCTTTAGGGATGGAGGCCAGGGAGTCTATTTATCTTAAGTGGGAGAGCCTGGGGTGTGGGATTGAGAAAAGAGTGTTCTTAGTGTTTCAGTGAATCCACATCAGTTCACAAGCCTACTATGTGCCAGACACTGTGCCGGGTGCTGGGGATACAAGGACAAAATTGAAACTGTCCCTGCTTTTAAGGTCCTCATAATATGTCTATACATATATGTATATATTTGCATCTACACATAATGGATACAAAATGCTTTTTTGGGGAAAGTCTGTCTGGCTGACCACTCAGTTTCCCTTCATCATCCATGTCACATCCACTAATTGTGGGTATTCCCTGAAGTTATGTCTTAGGCCTTCTTTTCTTCTTTCTCTAGACCTTCTCTTGGTGACCTTATCAATTCCCACGGGCTTAATTATTTCTATGCAGATGACTCCCAGGTCCATATATCCAGCCCTAGGCTCTTTCCTGAGCTTCAGAACCTTATCACCAATGACCTATCAGACATCTTGAATTAGATGTCCAAAACAGAATAAATTATTTTCCTCCCCCTGCAAATCTACCCCTCTTCTGAACTTCTATACTTCTGTTGAGAATGCCACCATCCTCCCAATCACCGGGGTTGCAATCATGGCATATGCATCAGGGAGCCTCCTGCCCATGACACTTTCTAGTGTCAAGAAGCATCATTTGGCTCAGATTCAGAAAGCAGCTGAGACTCTCCTAATCCCACTGCCCATCTCATGTCTGTTGCCCCTTCTTCCCTACTCTCAATGTAGTTATATGTCCCTAATAGGAAGGCAGGTTTGGGATTAGCAATTCTTAATCTGTGGCAGTGACGTCTTCCCTTTTCCTTTTTCCTATGGGTGACAGAGTAGAAATGCCCAGTAGTATATTTATGTGGAGGAAGGGGACATATTCTAACCCTAAATTGTTTCTCCCTTCTCACCTCCAATTCCTGGCTTCCTTGAAAACTTCCACTTTCTTCAGGAAGTCCTTTGTAGTTCCCCAGCTCCTATTACCTTCCCTTTGAAATTACCCTTCATCTATGCCATATCTATCTTGAATATACATAGGCATTTGCAGTTTTCTTTATTTGAATATGAGTCCCTTGAAGGCAAGGACCATTATTCTGTGCCTTTCTTTGTATCCCTACAGCTTAGTCCGGTGCCTGGCACATAGTATTTAATAAATCTTATTGAGAAAGCTGGCCACTGAGCGATGAATTCTTTTGGCCACAGCACCTAGAAATGACCATCTACCAACTAGAATAAAATCCAAACTCTTCTGCCTGGCATTTAAAGTTCCTTAAAATCATGCTCCAACTCATCTTAATTACCAGAATATACATTACTCACCCTCACACACTCTGACTTTTAGGCAAATGGGCCTAATTGCTATAATCTTTCATGACATTCCCTCTCCAGCCTTCCTGCTTTTGAAAAGGCCATTCCTCCTTTCTGAAATGCTCTCCTTTTCTACCTCCATCTCTTGGAGACCGTGTCTTCCTTTAGGGTAAAGATCAAGAGGTCTTTCCTGTTCCTCCTGGTCATGTTTCTCTCACTCCGTGTATTTATTTATTTTGGTTCTTATTCTTCTCCTCTTCCCAATGTCCCCAGTGGAAGGTAAGCCCCTTGAGAGCAGAGACTTTTGTTTTTGTATCCCCAGTACTTAGGATAGTGTCCAGCATGTAGTAGGCACACAGGTTCATTGGGACAAATGAATGAATGAATGAATGAATGGAGGATTGTTATTAGCTTTGATGAAGAGAGTGCTAAAATATTACCACTGAAAACATGGATGTTTGAAGTTTGGGGATACCGAAGCACATCTAAGTAAGGGAAATGAGAAAGCGGCATGAACTGGGCTTAGAAGGAAGTCTCAGACTTCTCTCCAAGGCAGGTCTAATGGAATTTCCCCATGGAAAAGCAGACCCCAGATTTCTATCTTCCTTTCCTTTTTTCCCCCTTTCCATCCTTTTGAGGAGAGGCTGGCAGGCAGTGTTGGAAAGGGCCCATGACCCATGATTTCTACAGGCTGACCCCAATTACCATTTTCATCCTCAATTTCAGAAGGGCCAGTAAAGACACGGTTGGCCACCTTGACACGCCCAGGAGGCCCAAAGTGAGGCCCATCTACTTTTCCTTCCTTGCAGAGCTGAGATAGGATCTGTGATGGCTTCATGGGATCCCGCCAAATATTGTAGCCATGTCTGCAGGTGAAAATACACAGGGGTTCCATGGGATAAGGAGCAGGATAGAGGGATGCTATAGGACTGCGCCTGGGGTTGAGGGAGCTGTGAGGACTCTGAAGCTGCAACCAAGAGCAGGACTGGGAACATAGGTGCTTGGAGTCCTATTTCCTACAGCAGTTGCAGTTTATATTAACCCTTATCCCTTGCTGAGGAAGTATTCTTCAACTCTGCCTCCCATTTGCTTGGGGGAAAGAACACTCGAGGACACTATGTTGGGTGGGGGTTGACCCTTCATTGAGCCCTGTCCTCATGTGCCCAGTCTTCATTATCCTTTCTAGACCTTCTTCTCCATCTGTTTTCACTGACTCTTGATGCTAGTTTCCCACCCCCTCTATTATTCCCCTGCCCCACTCCATCCTGCTCCAGTCCAATTTTTACATCCCCTTAAAGATTCCTCTTCTTCCAACGTCTTCCAAATGGATCTTCTGTTCCCTCCCAATCATGCAGCCTGCAGACCTGCAAATAGTCATTTCCTTGTGGGACTAGGGTCTAAGATGGAGCAGTTTAACCAGGAGCCCACAGACAAGGCATTTTTAACTTAAGATCCATGAGCAGCCTTTTTTTCTTTCTTTTTTTTTTTTAAGGCAATTGGGGTTAAGTGACTTGCCCAGGGTCACACAGCTAGTAAATGTCTGAGGTTGAATTTGAACTCAAGTCCTCCTGACTCCAGGGCTGGTACTCTATCTACTGTTCCACTTAGCTGCCTCCATGAAGTTGATTTTTAAAATATTTTGATAACTGTATGTCAATGGAGTTGCTTTCATTTGTAATCTTATGTATTTTTTACATTTAAAAACATTATTCTGAGATGGGGCTTCTAGGTTTCACCAGACTGCCAAAGGGGTCTATAACACACACACAAAGGTTAAGGACCCCTGCTGTAGACTCAAAAGGTACCCAGGGAGCATGTTTGGACCAAGGCTGGACCCACAGCAAGAAATTTAAGGATCACTGAGCCCAAATCACCACCATCATCAGTTTGGTTTTAAAATAAAGCTGCTGCCAGTCCATCTTGCTCCCTGCCCCAAGCCTGATCCTTCTCTGACCTCCCACCAGTTTCAGTCCAGTATCTCTTCTCTTCTCCAGCTAAATTATCTTCTCCCCAAACCACACCCCAGGGCATACATGGAATAGGTCTGGGCAATGCCACAAGTGGCCCGGTGCTTGCTGTAGTATCGATTCTCCAAGTCGATCTTGGTCTCTCCAATGAGGTCATCGGTGCCAACCAGATCCCAATCATACACAGCCACAGTCAACATGGACTCCATGGGGAAAGAGGCTTCAATGTCAAAGGACCTGCTGGTGGAGTCAGGAGGTGAATGGAATGAAGGGAAGATGCAAGGACTATAAGCTGGGGGAGGTCACTGGTCTGAGAAAGGTCACTGGGTTGGGAATAATTGTGCCTAGGGGTATTACTATGCTGGGAAGTCACTAGGCTAGGGGAAGTCATGGCTGAGGAGGTCATTGGGTAGAGGGGATGGTGGATAGGGGAAAAGTGAGTACTAGAGGCCTTACTTTCCAAAGACGGGATTAAGCTGCTTGGAGATATAGTTCTCTTTATCCCGGATGTCTGTCTTCCCCAGACGGATGGCAATATAGGGGTCAGCTTTGCCATTGATGTCAGCAGGGTGCAGGTCTGTGGCCTATAGGGAGGGGTGGTGATTCTGGATCCTAGCTGGCATCCAGGACAAGATAACTCCATATAACCACCTTATTCTATCTCCCTTGTTCCAGGTTCCAGTTCCCTAAACCATTCCCTCTTCCTTCTGTATCTTCTTTTGCTCCCTGCTCTCTAGGAGCAGTAAGGGACTTCCCAAGTCAGGGAGGAGAGAAGGTGCCATGAAATAAGTTCTCAGCCTTCTATCCAAAGCAGACCTCATGAAGCATCCCCATAGAAAAGTGAGACCCAGAATTCTATTTTCCTTTTTTTTCTTTTCTTTTAAGAGTTTGGCAGACAATACTGGGAAGGACCCCTGCCCCCAGCTACCCCCAGAGATAATTGGCTGATCCTGATTACTGTTCTCATCTCTAATTTCAGAAGAGGCAATAAAGACCCAGGTGGCCACTTGGTTATGCCCATCAGGCCCAAAGTGTCCAGAGCCCAGGACTGGGAGTCAGGAGACCTGGGCTCTAGTCCTAACTCTCACAGACTAGCTATATTACCTTAGCCTCTCTGGATCTCTGTGTCCTCATTTCTAAAGTGAAGGGGCTGTGTCAGATATATTCTAAGGTTACTATATTGCTATATAGTAATATGCAGTATGTTACTATATAACTTTCTGTTATTGCTCTGATAAAGAAGGACCAGATAAGAGGCCAGGAAAAGACTTACTCGAACCACATAAACCCGGACAAGGACATTGATGGGGTCATTGCTTGGAATGCCCTGGAACATGCCATAGGTGGGGTCATAACCAGCTTCCCGGGATATGTCCTCTGGGAGAGGCACCTTGTATACACAGAGAGAGCCCTGGTGGAGAAGACAGAGGGAAATGCATTAGAGATGAAGCTTGGGGTAGGCACCTGGAGGTTGGGGGCTGAGGTGTGTATGTGTGACAGTGGCTAGGCTGGACAAGTATCTTGGGTGAGGCTCCACTTTGGGGAACAGAACCTGGAGCCCTCATTCTCTGACCTTGAACCTGCCCACTATGCGCTCCTCCTCTGTGGAGCTGTCCTCATCATCGCCAATCTTGCCTCGAAGCAGGTTGAAAGTGTGCAGCCAGTCCTCAAAGTTGTCAAACTCTGATTCCAGCTCCTTGGGGGTACACCTGGAGCCACAAAGCACATCATGAAGGGGAAACTGCCTTCCCCCCCTATAGATCCCCACATTTTTGCCGCAGGCCCTGGGCAAAAGGACCTACCATCGTTCAGGGAAGGGAGTGGTTGCTTGATCAGGTATCAGGTATTTTGTCCTCCGTCCCTCCAGCACTGCCCCTTTACCACTCTGCCCCACCCTCCTCTCTCTGGTTACAAGGGGCCTTCACCTTGAGTTCATCTATCTTGGGCTTCTTTTTCTCTGGGACATCAGAACCCTGACCCTGTCCTTGGTTCTGAACTTTCTTCTTCTTCTCTTCCTTGGCTCCCTTTGCCTTCTCCTTGGCTTTCATGTGTCCTTTTGGGCCTGCCAGGAAAGAGAAGAAAAGCCGTTCAATGAGGATTGTACTCAGCAGCATGACAGCATAGGAGCCCAGTGCTAGGACTCAGGAGACCTGTTGTCTAGCATCCCTGCCAACATCACTGTGGGACAAGTTGCTTCATCATTCTGCGTCACCAGTCTGAGTCTCAGTTTATCTGTAGTATGTTGATAATTAATATGTTCCTTTCCATCAGTGAGGTTATTAAGAAGATTAAATGGAACATTAGCTGAACTATTGCATGAAGTACTATCTAATTGTAAGGTATTAATTAACAACTAGTAGATAGAGAACTGACTTTGGAGTCAGAAAGACCTTGGTTCAAGGCTTGTTTTTGGCACGGCTGGACAAGTTACTTAACCTGTCATTGCCTGAGGCGAGTCTCTAAAATGATAAACTGCTGATGTTGATTGGTATTCTTAAAGGAAGTGTCCTTAGTGGAAGTTCCCTAATCCACTAAAATCATAGGTTTCATCCAAAAATTAGTGAACTAATTGATTAAATGGTTGGTTGGGAGTTTAGTGGGATATAAGTTTCTGGAGGGCAGAAAGTAGGTTTTTTTTTTTTAGGCAATTGGGGTTAAGTTACTTACCTAGGATCACACAGCAAGTAAGTATCTGAGGCAGATTTGAACGCAGGTTCTCCTGATACCAAAGCCAGTGCTCTATCTACTGTACCACCTAGCTGCCCCAACAGGAAGTGCTTTTTTTTTTAATCTGGCAACACAGTGTTCCAATATAGTAAGTGCTCAATAAATGCTTGTTGAATTAAATTGAGCCTGGGAACCTGAATTCTATTTTTATCTCTGCCAATACCTCCCTGTATGACCTTGGGCAAATCATTCATCAGTTTGGGGCCTCATCTTCCACATCTGTGAAGTAATGGACCTGGAGCAGATGATCTCCAAGGTCTCTTCTGGTTCTAACATCTGGATTTCCCTTGGCATCATTGTTGACTATCTGGGGCTGAAGCTTTTCCCTGGGATAGATACCAGGTCTGCTTAACTTGTGTCTGGAGACATCTAATTAAAGAATTTCATGGCTAATGTTGTCCTTCTGGACATAGAAGGGGTGTGAATGTGTGTGCATATGTTTTTTGAGGCAATCAGGGTTAAGTGACTTGCCCAGGGTCATACAGCTAGTAAGTTTCAGGTGTCTGAGGTCAGATTTGAACTCAAGTCCTCCTGACTACAGGGCCAGTGTTCTATCTACTGCATCACCTAGCCACCCCTTGTGTGTGCACATTTTTGTGTACCTGTAAGAGCCCTTAAGGCTGAGGCTGGGGAACTGGAAGGAAGCAACTGGTCACAGCTGGGGCTGGAGTTGGGGGGGGAGGGGTAAGTGAGGGTTGTTTGAAGAGGAGGAGATTTGGGATCCCAGATGCCTCACCCTCAGTGGTGTCCATCTCCTCCTTGTCCTCAGGGTCAACTGCTGCTGCCTCTTGATGTTTAAGTTGCTGTCAAAAGATGGGACAGATGTAAGTGGGAGTTGAGGAGGGAAATTCTCTGTGGTAGTACTTTCCCCTGGCTCTGTTGAAGTCTCTTCTAGTCAGTCAAGTGCATTTATTATCTGTTAGTTCACGTGTTCAGTCTCAGATCAAGTTCAGAGGTTTAATCTTGTCATCCCATTTCGTTTCATAAACATTTGTATCAGGTGTGCCCAGGCATGCTTTAAGAGTATAGGTCAGTCTTTCTTCCTTCTTGTGTCCTTGACAAAATAAGAATTTGCTAAGCATAGTGTGAATTCCCCTTCTAGGTCTTCTGTTACCCATTGATGAGAATTTTGTTTTGTCACTGATAAGCTCATAGCTAATTCAGACACTTGAGCTATGTCCTTGGGATTGGTCTCTAAGATGAGGCTATCCTCTCTGGGAGAGCAAAAGAGAGAGAAAGGTAGGAAAGAAAAATGAAGGGACACAGAAATGAATGGATTTGATTCCAAAGAGAATGGCTTCTGCATGGTTGGTCAATCAGTCAATAAGCATTTATTAAGCACTTACTATGTGCCAGGCACTATTTTAAGCATTGAGAATATGAAGAAAGACAAAAAACTAGTACCTACTCTCAAGGAACTAACAATTGAATGGGGGAGATGACAGACAAACAGTTAAGTACAAGTGAGATATATGTATGCACACATGTGCAGGATAATCAACAAAAGGAAAGCATTACAGGGAATCAGGAAAGAAATAGAAGGTGGAATTTTAGCTGGGACTTAAGGAACACAGGCGATACAGGCATGGAGGACAGTCCGTGAAAAGCTATAGAATGAGGAAATGGAGTGTCGGACAGGAAGGACAATAAGGAGGTCGGTGTCACTGGATCGAATACATATGAGTGGGGGGAATAAGGTGTAAGAAGGCTGAAAAAGTAGGAGGGCACTGAATGCCAAATGAAAGATTTTATATTTGATCCTGAATGTGATAAGGAGTCACTGGGATTTGTTTAATATGAAGTGACCCAGTCAAACTTTCTTTTTAGGAACATCAATTTGATAGCTGAATGGAGGATAGACTAGAGTGGGGAATCAATCAACAGACTGTTGTAATAGTCTAGAAGTAAGATGATGAGAGTCTACACCAGCGTAGTGACAATGTCAAAGGGAAAAGGGGAGCATATAAGGGAGAGATGTTATAAAGATAGAAATGACATGACTTGGCCACATATTGGATAGATAATAGCAGGGAAGAGAAAATGAGGAGTCTAGGATGACACCTTGTGAGCCTGGGTGACTGGGAGGGTGGTGATGCCTTAAATAGTCATAGGGAAGTTAGGAAGAGGGAAGCTCTTGGGGAAGGGGGTAGAATAATGAGTTCATTTTTGGACATGTTGAGTTTAAGATGGGAATGTGATGCTGGAGGTCAATAGAAAGGTTAGGGCTGGATAAGTAGATCTGGAAATCATCAGCATAGAGATAATAGTTAAATTCATGGGAGTTGCTAAGATCATGGAGGGAAATAGCACAGAAGAAGAAGAGAAGAGGGCCTAGGATAGATCATTAGGGAACCCCCATGATTAGTGAGTGTGACCTGGGTGAAGAAGATCCAAGAAAAAGATTGAGGTGTAGTGAAAACAGAGAAGAGAGTATTAAGAAGAGGATGATTGTGTCAGACCGCAGAGAGATCAACAAGGAGGGGGGTTAGGAAAAGGCTAATAGATTTAGCAAGTAAGAGAACATTCTGTAACTTTTGATTGGTGATGTTGGAAGCCAGACTGCAAAGAGTTAAGAAGAGAATGAGAGAAGAGGAAGGGGAAGGACCAGTTGTAGAGGACCTTCTCAAGGAGTTTAGCCACAAAAGAGGGGAGAGATATGGGACAATTGTTAGTGAGAAGGGATGGATAAATCAAGTGAGTTTATTGAAGATCAGGAAGCCATGGATATTTGTATCAAGTAGGGAAGCAATCAGTAAGAGAGTAGGAATGAGAGATGGAACAATCTGCTGGAGAAGATGGGATGGAATGAGAGGCGACTGGCTTATGAAGACTCAGGAGGACAGATTCTTGTTAGAACACTTGGTGCTCTCAATGGTTTATAAAAGTGAGCTGCGAGACCAACTCATCTTGGAATTCATTTTCATTTTCCCCTCTTCCAAAGACAGAGTAAAACCCAGCATAATAGATGTCCATTCTGGGGGAGAGGGAAACCAGTACCCATGCATAGGAACAGGAAACAGCTGCCTTGGGGCACAGGTAAATGGGAGTTTCATGTGCTTGCATTTGGGGTCAGAGTAGAGATCTTGAGAGTGGATTTTCTCAGTTCAAAAGTTGGCAGCATTTAGGGGACTGAGAGATTTCCTGCAGAAGGAAATATATGCATGGGCACTGGGCATGAGAGGAGAGTGCCCACCATGGACAGTGTCATTTTACAGACTTCTGAAAAAGCATAATTGGGTAAAAATAAGTTTTTGCATTTTTATCAGTCTTTTTTCCTAGGAGAAGCCTGTAAGTCTGAATTACAAGAGCTATTACAACACCATGACCAAAGCATCATCATCCATCTGGTGGCAGCAGGTTATTGTTGAGTTATTTCAGCTGTGTTCCACTTTCCATGACCCCATTTGGGGTTTTCTTAGCAAGATACTGGAGTGGTTTGCGATTTCCTTCTCTAGCCCATTTTAAAGATGAGGAAGCTGAGGCAAACAGGGTTAAGTGACTTGCCCAGGGTCACACAGCTAGTAAGTGTCTTAGGCCAGATTTGAACTCAGCTTCTCCTGACTCCAGGGCCAGTGCTCTATCTCCTGTACCATCTAACTGTTCCCAAATCACAGGTTCTTAAATGCCACTCCCACCTCAAAAGAACATCAATTGGTATGGAAAATATGACATGGAACAGAAAGAACTATGTGCTGAGATGAGAAAGAGCAAGTTGGGTTAGGAGATGACAAGCTCAGTGGTTAGGACAGAGTATCAAGGAGGTCATTGACCTAGGGGTAGGCCAGTTGAGGCCAGTCTCACCTACCCATCCATCTCACTCCTGCTCTTGTTGCCCCACCCCTCTCCTAGAGTCTCTCACCTCTTTCATGGTGTCAATAGATGCAAAATATTTAGACCACCAGTCCAACATGCTTTCATCTGGCTCCTCCTCCTCTGGCTCCTCTGTGGTTCCTTTCTTCTTCTTCTTCTTCTTGTCCTTCTCCTCCTCTGTCTGCAGGTGGTGAGGGAAATTAGAGGATCCTAGATCTAGTCAATCTGTCAGTAAGCCAGCATTGATGAATAAACATCTGCTGTGAGCACTGGATGCTGGGCTGGAAGGAAACTCAGAGGCCATTGAGGCCAACCCCCTACTTTTTACAGGTGAGGAAACTGAGCCCAGAGGGGTTAAGAGACCTGTTCAGGGTCACACAGTTGTAAATGTCTAAGGCAGGATTTGAATTCAGGTCTTTCTGACTCCAAGTTTGGATCCAGGCTAACCAGAGCCTCAGGGTATAGTTTTCTCTTCTTTCCTTCTGTAGCATCTCTCCCTGCAGTGTCTCTGCCAGCCCATGGGCTAGCTAGACCATACATCATCTTATGTACCGGATCATTCCAGGCCAGGAAGACACCAAGTCTATGTAGTAATACTAGGACTTCTAGGGGCTCAGGTGTTTAGGGGATGGGGGCCCACCATATCCAACCCCTGCTCCTCAGGCTGAGATTGCCCAGATACCTGTATAAGAGCTATTTCCCTCTATTCCATACCCCTATGCTTTCCAGAGCCCTCATCCCACAAGCTTTAGTTCTTTGGTGCTTTGCTCTGGAACCCTCCAGGGCCCAAACTCACCACGTCCACCTTGACGACAGCATCAGAGCTCTGGGAGGCATGCCATGGGAAGCAAAGACAAAGTTACCCACTTGGGACACAAAGCTGAGGGCAGTAGTGGAGGCACAGACAGATCACAGGAGTGAGAGAGTGGACAGTAAGGTGTTTGCACACAGTTCTTGGGGGGTGGCTACATACCAGGATGCTGCTTTGCAAACAGAGTTGCAGAGACAATGCATTTTGTATCAACAATGGTATGTTGTTTTAGGGACTTGTAAATAGTTTCCTTTTCAGCTGTTTCTAAATTAAGTTTCATCTGACCTGGTTTGGTAGGGAAAAAAGGGAAATGAAGGATTAAATGGAGGTGGACTTCAGGTGACTATCAGGTTTCAATTATCTATATGCTCTGACTTCATCTGGATAATGGGTATCATATTTCTTGAGTGGGGGAGGGGTTGGAGGGAGGGAGAGAATTCAGAATTGGAAATAGAAATTAAAAAATAACAACCTCAAAATAAACAGAACAGGATGATTTTCAAAAAAAAATTATCTTTATGTTCTCTCTTCTTCCCTACCAGGGACTGTCAAGAACTTGCTGTATTTCACATGTATACAGCTGAAACAGAAGATGTGTAAGTGGTGGTTTATTTCCCCAGTGGGCTAATGAATGACCTCATAATCTGCATAGGACATTGTGATTTTGCATAGGGCTTCCCATGTACATCCCCAATGACAGACCCCTCTACCTGTTTGACATTTGGGAAATCAATTCCCTGGGCCTCAGTTTCCTCCTCTGTAAAATGAAGGGGTTGGACTAGATGGCCCCAGGTCTCTTCCAGCTTCAAAATCTGTGATCCTATGGCTTCAAATTAATTCTTCTCTCCGGGCCTTAGTTTCCTTGTTTATGAAATGAGAGGGGACTCAATGGCTTCTGAGGTCCTTTCCAATTCTTTATCTAGAATCCTTTGAACTAGTTCCTGATGGGGGTGGGGAGGCAATATAAATGATGACTTGACAAAGTGGGTGGAGCCTTGCAAATATGGAGGAAGGATGCTGAAGGAAAAAGCTGACCCAGGAAATTTGCTGGGAGGGGCTAGAAGGGTTATCAGCTTTGAAATGAAAATGAATATCCTTGTTTGGTGGAGGATATGGACAATATCTTTTCTCCAGGCACTGTGGCTACTGGCCTGACCCTGTACTGAGACTTGGTCATGAGACTTGCTGCTGTTTATCCTTTATTCTCGAAGAGGACCATGGCATCAGGCAGGTGATGCCATGACATGCAAGTGAATTGGATATAAGTGAGGCAGGGCTGTGCAAAGGCACCAGCCTCACTTTCTCCTCTGGAGCCATGTGGGTCTAGTGGCCAGATATGGATCAGGATGACAGGAGATGGCCCAGATTGCAGTGGGGGACCTTGGCCTTTTCAAGCTAAGGTCTTTAACAGGTCTCAGTTTGACTGAGGCAGCGCCCATTCAGTGATTAAGGCTTAATAAAAATGAGGCAAAGAATGGCCTCTTAAAAAAAATAGATCACCACTAAAAAAAACCCCTCAGGGTATCTGGCCAAAACAGAAGCAATTGTTATTTACATTCATTCTGATTGGCTCAGGTCTTGAGACTAACTAGATGGTAAATGGGCTAGTTAACTTCAGAAGTTATACCAGCCATTTATGGGACTAGGGACACTTTAGGCTTAGATTCCCATGTTCCATAATGTGACAGTTCTGGAATTTTGGTTTCTGTTATTTCCCATCTCTCTTTACTTGCTAGTAAAGTTGTTCTGAAAACCCTAGCAAAGATAGATACCTACTTGGGATAGCTGAAGTTTGTGAAAGGATGGAGAAGAGAGAAATATGAAGACATTGGGGTTTGCCCATGGAAAGGCTGTGAGGAAGACCATTCTGTCTGGACAGTTCTAATTGTTAGGAAGGTCTTCCATATATTGAGTCAAAATCTCATTCTCCATAACCTGTAACTTGTATGATCTACCAGATGCATCAGACTTCTTGTTGTTGTTCAGTCATTTCAGTAATGTCTGATTCTTCATGACCCCATTTGGGGTTTTCTTGGCAAAGATGCTGGAGTGGTTTGCCATTTCCTTCTCCAGATCATTTTACAGATGAGGAAACTGAGGAAAACAGAGTTAAGTGACTTGCCATGGGTCATACAGCTAGTAAGTGTCTGAGGCTGGATTTGAACTCTGATCTTCTTGACTGACTCCAGGCTTGTAACTCTATCCACTTCACCACCTAGCTGTATCAGACTAACAGATTATAAGTGCGTTGATATATATATACATATATGTGTGTGTGTGTGTGTGTGTGTGTGTGTATTTTTTTCATCTTTATATTTCCTGCAATGCCTTGTACATAGTGGACAAGTAACTGCTTAGTAGAGAAGCTGGTGATGTAGTGGATAGAGTGCCAGACCTAAAGTCAAGAAGACTCATCTTCCTGAGTTCAAATGCAGTTTCAGACACTTACTAGCTGTGTGACCCTAGGCAAGTCACTCTAAAATGAGCTGGAGAAGGGAATGGCAAACCACTCCAGTATCTGCCAAGAAAACCCCAAATGGGGTCATGAAGAGTTGGACATGCCTGAAAAACGACTGAACAAAAAAATTGGCAAGCTGGGTTGTCAGTCAATACAAGGCCAGCCAGTGATGGGTTCAGTTGGTTGTTATATCATTACTAGTTGGTCTAATGATGCAAGAAAGATTTCCTTCCCCTCTGTGCTGACTCTATATGAGAAGAAAGTTCCAGGCAGCAGTCTTAGGATAGTGAATATGTGTTGATTCTCCAGTAATCCTAGAGCACAAACAGGTGTTAACATATCCTCAGACTCCCTACCCTTGCTACCTTATGAGTGACTGGTAGGAATCAAGGGATGTATATGTGGGGAGGGAGCTGGGCACTTACAGATGGGGTCTGTTTGGGTATCCTCAAATAGAACAATGCTTCCTCCCCCAGGCTCCCAGTGCTTCTGGTCCTGCTTTAAATTCTAGTATCTGGGTATTAGGATAAAATTGTCCTCACCCCCATGAACACCTGTACACACAGTAGGTGGTTTAGGATTATTATTTTTGGACTATTATCATGTAATCCTTCACTGGGGATGTTCCACACGGTACTGCTTGGTGTCTTACTATACTGTTGGACCACGTAAAAGAAGGTATCGTTGAAGGCTTATCATAAATCCTGTTGGTCTGAATATGAGTCACCCCTGATTATAGGTTATATTCCTAAAGTGATCTTTTTAAAGGAAAAAATAGGTATAGGTGAAATACTGGAAAATAATCATAACTATAGGTTGTAGTCAGTTTGTGTAAGCTAGATGTGCGCACCTGTGTGTGTGTGTGTGTGTGTACATGTGTGTGTAACTACTGCCTGTATTTTGGACAAACATAGCAATTGCTGGAAAACACATACACATGCACATGCACTCACAGACACCCACAGAGCCAAGCTGGATGTTCCTGGGTCCAGAGGGTCTTACCGCATCTAGCTTCACCATGGTCTCCAGTTTCTTGACCGGAGCTTCGGGTTCCATGTTGATCACAATCTCCCCTGTAGGATGGTAGCAGGGACCCCCGTTGGACAGCACCCGGCCCCCCCTGTACAGCCCAACTGGAGTAGCAAATGGATAGAAAGACAGAAAAGGGAGAAAACAGTGACAGCAATAAAAGGCAGGAGGACGGATGGACCAGGGTTTGAGGAGGTCCAAAGAGGAAGTGTCAAAGAGCGGTAGGGAACAGAAATCGGAGAAATGGGCTAAGAGCCCACTGCAGGACTAGAGGAGGTGGCACTAAGGTGGAAAGAGGAGAAAGGTAAGTTAGGACAGAGCTAGGGACAGGTTCTCTAAACTCCCTATAATTTCCAAATGCTGACTATCCTGTGTTCATCCTGTGTCCCCAGAATTCATTCTTCTCCCTTCTATCATCCACCTCCAGTCCCCCTCAACTCCTAGGCCACAGCTTTCAGTAGTTAGGATTCTGGAATTAGGGTGGTCAATTGGCTAGAGAGAAAGAGAGAAGGACAAAAGGGGCTCTGGGCTTGAGCAAATATTCTAGTTGGTAGGTAGAGTAGATAGGATTGTGGTTGAGGGTGATTGGTACCTGTGGTGTTCCAGTTGGGGGAAAAGCGATCAGGGGGCCTATAGATGAACCGACGAAGGGAGCTGACAGCATGAGAGCCCACTAGGGTGTATCGGCCAAAAGCTCGACAGTCTACTACCCTGATATTAAGTGGAGGGTGCAGCAGCTCATTCTCTGGAAGGTCCTGTGTGAGAATGGGAAGGGAGCTGAGAGCTTGGAGAAGGAAGCTGGGAACACTCCCCTTCTCACCCCCTGGCTCCATCTAGGGTCTAGGCAGCACAGTGGATAGAGCACTGGACTTGGAAACAGGAAGACCTGAGTTCAAATCTTGCCTCTGATAGTTTATTCCCTGTTCAACCTTGGCAGTCACATCATCTCTCTAGGTTTCAGCTTCCTCATCTGTCAAATTAGGGGGTTGGACTCTCAGGTCCCTTCCAGATCCCAATTCCATGTGGATCTCTTTCTCTATTCAACATCCCTTCACTCCTCCTACTCCCCTGACCAGTGGCTCTGAGCTCCCACTCACTACTTCAAACCACTTGACAAGGGTGTTGAAATTGGGGTTCTTCTTATAGTTGTGGATCAAAGATGACTGCACCCCTCGGCCTGCACATTCAATATCCACTCGAGGCCGGTCCACCTGGGCCAGATTCACTCGTTTCAGGTCCCGGAGACCCCAGAAGAGCACCTGGGAAGGGAGAAGACTCACTGGGAGGAGGAAGGACATAGGGCAAATGGAGGTAGCATCTGGACCAAATGGTGGCATTGGGTAGGGACAGTGAGGCAGAATTCCCTGGGAAGCACAGCTCAAATGAAAACAACACTGGATTTGGAGCAGGAAAAACTGGACTTGAGGCTCTGTTCTCCTGCTGAGTGATACTGGATATGTGTGCTCCTCTTCTCTGCACTTGTTTTCTTATCTATGAAATAAGGGATTGGACTAGATGGTGTCTATGGCTCTACACAGACCTGACATACTGTGGTCTCTGTGATTCTGTGGCTTCCTCTTCCTTGCACCTACCTACCCAGGTACAAGTAGGAGAAAATCCAAGTTGAGGGAAAGAGGCCAAGGGAAATAAACCAATGGGAAATATGGTGGAATGATTTCAGGTACACTAATGCTGGAGTCTAATGAGGTGAGTGAATGAATGTGCTCTGTACTGGATTCCAGGCACAGGGATACAAAGACCAAATTGAGACTGCTCTTGCCCTCAAGGAGCTTACAATCTAGCCAGGGAAGATAATATTTATGTATATAGACATTAATTTCCCTTGGTCTCTTTCCTTCTGCTTGAATTTCCTCCAGATTCTAATTAGGACAGTGGTGTCAGACTCAGATAGAAACAGGGATTTTTGCCTGTGCGTGTTTACTTGGAAAACTACAAATTTAACTTTATCTATGCTTTATTATACTTTTATTTATTTTGCCAAATATTTCCCAATATATTTTTATCTGGTTCAGGTAATACTCTGGAATATTGTTGGAGATGTGTTTGACACCTGTGCATTACACAACAGCTTGTACTTGGATGCAAAAGGAAGAGAAAGCCACAGACCCAGAACATGTCAGGCTTTCAAGGGGCCTTACGGACCAGTTAGCATAATTCTATCATGTGTACATAGAAATAGAAAAAATGGATAGGATAGTACAGAGTGAAAGGCACTGATCTGAGTCAGAACACCTGGGTTTGTATTCCATTTCTTTTTTTTTTCTTTCTTTTTTAGGCAATTGGGGTTAAGTGACTTGCCCAGGGTCACACAGTTAGTAAGTGTCAAGTGTTTGGTCTGAGGCTGGATTTGAACTCAGGTCCTCTTGACTTCAGGGCCAGTGCTCTATCCACTGCGCCACCTAGCTGCCCCTTGCATCCCATTTCTGACACCATGTTAGTGACATTAGGCTTCAGATAGAAAAGATGGTGCTAGAACTGAACCTTAAAAGAAGCTGGAATTCTAAGAGACAAAGGTGAGGAAGGAGTACGTTCCAGATGTGAGGAAGAGCCCCTTCAAAAGTATGGTGGTGGGAAATGGAATGCTATATAAGAAGAACAGTAATGAGGCCAGTTTGACCCATAGAATGTGGGCTTGAGAGGTAAAGAGGGTTCTGAAGGGCTTTGTGACCCCAGGTTTTTGAGCCTTATATTTGTGCTGTTGGGAGAAAGCATCTCTAAAAGGTCCATGATAAAGTCAGGGAGACCCACTGAGAAAAATTGGGAAATTGGGACTTTGCAAACTGGAATGGTAAGGAATATAAGGGCTATGACTGAATATGACCATTACTGAGCAACAGGGAGAAAGGAAGGGAGGTAGTGAGGCTCAGAGAGGCACATCAAGTGTTGGTGAAGGATACCTGGGGAGAGGCATTGTCAGGAGGACTGAGCAATTAAAGTCCAGGGTGCCTGGTCCTGCCAGGAATGAGAAGGGGGCTCCTGTTACCTCAATGCGGTATTTGCTGAGCACAGGCCGAATGCCGAGGGGCACAGGCATGATGGGGCCTCGATCCGTGTCCACAGGGCCATTAATGGGAGGTAGGTCAGCCTTCCCTGCTGGTCCAATCTACAGACATGGAGACATGGACCACAGGCACATAGATGAAGCCAGAGCAATAACTAGCAAATAACTGTGTGTCTGGGGCAAAGGGGAAAACATGCCCCTAGGGCAACAAAAATTACATGGATCCTCATGTAAGTTATTAGTTGGTACGTGTGTATACACACGTGCACATGCATGGGTATATTATGTACATGCATGGGTGTATACATACAGTACACATATATGCGCATGCATGTGGCTTATGTATGTGTGTACATGTGCTCATATATACAAACACATTACACATGGATACATGTATGAGTGTTTGTAGGTGTGGATATGCATGTGCATGCGTGTGTAATGTAGATAGATTAAACACATTTCATTGTGTATATGTGAATAATGTACATGTATGAGAAAGTGTGGGTGTGTATATGTGTAGTGTGGGTAGCATACATGTGTATGAATATATGTTGTTGTATAGTACATGTGTGTAGGTATATGTATTCCACATAATAAGTGTCTGCATTATCTATGTTCCGTGTAGGTCGTACAGTATCACACACATTACATACATGTAATTTTATTTGTGTATGTGTACATGTAGCTATGTACCCATATACGTGCACGTGTATCTGTGTATGTATGTAGATATGTATGAATATATGTGTGTATATGTACACTTGTACCTGTGTACATGCACATGTATACATGTGTGAATAGGTATATAGGCATACTATGTGCAGTTGAACATGTAACTATGCATGGACACGCATACAGTGCTTATGTGTGTTTACATAATTATGTGGAAGTATACTATATACTTGCATGTGTACATACAAATGACCATGTATAATGTGTACACATGTATATTGTAAATGTGTTGTGTAAGTGTGCATATGTAAGTATATATTACACACATGTAATTTGTATAAACATATAATAACACACAGGTGTGTTGTAAAGTATACTGTATGAGAGTGTACATATGTGTGCATGTATGTGCCTGTGAACTATACTAATACATGTGTACATGTGGTTACCCTAGAGTCACTGGAGGCTGCTTCTGGGAAGGCTGCTTCAGGCAGTGGTGGAGTCAGGGTAGGGCTGGCGGGGAAGGGTTCAGCCAGAACGAGGCCAGTTGGTGGGAGGAGGCAGCCTCCCCTTTCACTAATTGTTCTTGCCTGCTCCATGCTAAGCTTGACTGTGTGAATGCCTCTGAAAGGGAGAGTGCTATGCACACTCCTTTGGATTTTGGTGCCCTGGGACGAAACAGAGTGCACTCACCCCTGGTCCCCTTGGATGGCGGCTAGGACAAGAGGAGGACCTTTCTCTATGAGAAATGCCTTTATTTTCTGATAAACAAAGTTAAGAAGGCTCCTTCTGAAATTACTGCTCAAACTTAAGCCTAAATCTTCTGCCTTCAGTGGCCCTCTAAGTCTGGGGCCCATATCAGGCCCCAAAGTCAGGATTCCGTAGAGAGCCAGGGCACTTTGCGCTCTGGGGGTGCTGGGCTATGTTCCCTCCAACACCTCAACTTCCTCTGAAGCCTTGGTCCCTTGCAGTCTTCTCTCTCTGCCTGGGCTCCTCCTCACCTGCAGCAGTTCAAAGGCAGCCAGCAGGTCCCCAGCTGTGGCATTGCCTCGGTAGATCTGGTAATACTCAAGCTGGGGAGGGAATCGGGGTGGGCAGTAATCCTCATCTGCCATCTTCACTACTGGCTTGGCAAAGGTCCGGCCCATGAAGTCCGCCTTCCCCTGGGGAGAGGAGAGAGTGAAGGGGATATTGGATCCTCAAGCGTGGGCCTGAAGAAAGGTGTGCCTTTGGCTGCCCACCCCATCTCCCAGAGGGCTTCATCTAAGATTTCCTTTCCCATTGTGCCAACTCCTAAATGACCTGTCTTTCTCAGAGACTCCTGTGGGTGAAGGGTCAGATTTGGTGTAGAACCTGTGGCCTCAAGGCCCCATGTGGCTCTCTAGGTCCTTCACAGAACAAATCCTTTTATTAAGGGAATTTGTTCTGTGAAGTTTGGATTCAGTTAAAGAGCCACACTTGAGGACCTAGAGGTCTATGTGTGGCTTTGAGGCCATAGGTTCCCCCACGCCTGGTCTAAGGCCTATGCATGGATGGTCTAGGCACATGCATGGATAATGAAGGGAGGCATTGGGGGCATTTCCTGGGATGATCTTAGCAGGATGCCCACCTCTAGGGTTCCCTGAATAGCTGAAAAGGACATGACATTTCAGGGTTTATGAAGTACTTTATAAATTATCTTGTTTGACTCTTCCAATGAACTTGCAGGGTTGTCAGAGGTGGTATCATTCCCATTTTACAGATAAGGGAACTGAGTCTGAGGTTAAATGACTTGCCCAAGGTCAAAGAGACAGAACTGGAATTTTAAAATTAGGGCCAATTTTAGTGTTCTTTATACCACATCATCCTTGAGGGTTCTGGACATGTCTGGCCCAAATTAGGTATGTCTCTATACTCAGAAAGGTGGGGTGAGATAGAGGATCATGGGGTCAGAGATTTAGAGCTGAAAGGGACTTTAGAGGTCATCTAGTTCAATCCCTTAATTTTTCACAGGAGGAAATGGAGGGAACCTCTGACCTGGACTAGGAAAGACCCTTAAGGACAATCCTATTCCATTTCCCTTCCATTTCCCTAAGTATGGGAGTGGGCCATGAAGGAGCATCCAGCACAGGGATTCCTTCTTTCAGTGTGGGTAGGTAAGAACTTCAGAGATTGTGGTGTTGGAAGTTAAGGCTGCTAGATGTCTTGAAAACAGGGCGACTGAACAAACACCAAAGTGCCTGCTTTGGAATGAACCACAATCCAACTCTAGGGGTGTGGCAGGAGCCATACCAGGATATTTGGTGGTGTTTGATAGCTGTAGTAGGGGATGAGGAAGGGAGATGAAGAGGTGATGCCAAAGGGGCCCCTGATCATCTTCCCCTCCTTCCACATCATATACCATAGTGTCCTGGTCATATATTTCAATGACAATGATGGGGGGGTCATCTCGCAGCTCATGGGCCTCTCCATATAGCTCCAGGTTGTCAAATACCAACATCTGGTCCCAGGTTGGGCACAGAGTCTCATTTAAAACCTGAAACACAGGGGTGAAAGTAAGGGGAATAATATCAGGAAATCAATGGGGACCCACTTGGAAGAAAGCCATAGCTACCTACTCTTGAATTTCAGGTTCTGTGAAGATTCAGAGCTGAATTTTAGAGTTTCCCTCCCTAAGCCAATGAACTCCAGTGAAAATTAATGGTTATTAACACAAGAATAAGTGCAGGTCCTGGGCCTGTAGCTATCTGCAAGGCTCCTCTCTCCCTGCCCCTCCCCAATCCCCCCAAAGGAACTAGTTGATGTGTGAGCTTATATCCCTAGACTAAACATGTTACATCCTGCCTTTGGATCTCACATCCCTCTACTCTTTTGGAGCTGGCTTGCTGTCTCCTTTATCCTCCCAGGGAGAATCCCTTCTCAGAGATCTCACCTCTGTGCACTGACTCTGGGTGATGAAGAAGACTCTGGCGAAGGGGTCTGAGAGGCCACTGCTATCCGCAGCAAAGAGGCTTCGAGCCTGATACATGTGGGCCCTGAGCTGGAATTCCTGCTTCTCTAGATGGGGATGGAGGGACAGACGGGCAAGGTCCTGAGGCTCACAGGGTCCCAAGTGTTTCCCCCCTCCCCATGGGAATGTCCAGGACTGTGGCGCTGGTCTTTCTCTTCCCTCTCACCTTAGTTCAGCTCTATCCAACTCCACAGGTCTGGACACCGCCCTCCTTTTGGTGAGGAGTTTGGATGAATTATAGTGGGGGTAGTGATGGGGGGAAGGGATGGGGGCACAAGGCTTCACCCGCTCTGGAAGAACAGGCTGAGCTGGACAGGGATCTGTCCGATGGATCTACTGGAAACTGAGCTGAACCATCCCTGGGAACGCGCCATGCACAGGTGTAGGAGGTCTAATGAACTGGGAGGAAGTCACCCACAGAGGCCCTTCAGGGGACACACTCACTGGTATAGCAGAGACTGATGGGGGGGAAGGATTGTAGGCCCAGGCCCTGGGCTGCCTTGACCTCCTCAAAGCCACAGGGCAGGCCACACAGGAAGTCTTTCCGCTGCTTGGTGAGACCCAGCCACAGGTATAGCTCCAGCTTGGCCTGTACTGTCCAGCCAGCTGAGCCAAAGCCTCTCTTTCCTGGCAGCTGAGGATAATGAAGAATATGTGACTGAGGGGGATAACCAGGGCCTTGGCCACCCATTCCCTTTCCCTCTCCAGTGCCCTTTAGCCTGGAATCCTAGAAGGCACCAGATGGGGTGGGGAATAGGAGGAGAAGAGAGGCCAGGAAGTGGGGAGAGACAAAATCCCTTCCCGTAACTCATCCACTAATTTCTCCTTTTATTGCACATCCCCTGAACTTGTAGATTAGGTAGGCAGAAGATAGCATCTTCATCATCATCATCATTATCATCATCATCATCCTCATCATCACATTCGCCATAGGGCTTTAAGATTTGCGAAGCATTTATATATTACCTTATTTGAACCTTAACAGCTCTATGAGGTAGGTGATATTATTGTTATCTCCATTTTACAGGTGAGGAAACTGAGGCTAGTAGAAGTTAAGTCACTTGCCCAAGGTCACATAGCTACTAAGTGCCTCAGGCCAGATTTGAACTTAGGGCTTCCTGACTCCAAGTTCAGTGCTCTATCCACTAAACTTATCTACCTTGCTATTGAGTCACAGTGTAAAGAAATGGGCCAGGACCAGGGAGGTCAGGGCCCAAGCATTCTGCTACCCAATTCATTTAATGCAATCATAGTCTAGTATGCTACATCCTTTCCACATCTCCCCCACCTTTTCCTGTTTCCATTCTTTGACTCTTCTAGCAAAGCTATAAAATTTTCAGATTTCAGAATTCTAAGATTCCAGATTTTCCAATTCTTGTTCTTTCCTTTCTATCAGAGCTGAGGTCCCATGGAGAATGTGTGTGCATGAGCTTAGATTATAAGTTTCCTGAGAAAGGGGTCTGTCTCAATATTTATTTTCCCAAGGCCTAGCACTATGCTTGGCACGCAGTAAGTGTTAATTGATTGATTGGGGGGTGGAGTGGGAGTGGGATGGTGGTGGTCATTAGCCATGCAGAACTACTTAGGAAAGACTAGAGTTTTGGCTCAGCCCCACTCCTTCCCATCTCCCCTGAATCCCACCCAGCACCTTGAGGAATAGGGTCTTGACTTTGGCGCAGTCCTTCCCAGCTTCCTCCTCCACAATAGAGAACAGCACGTCTTTGGAGGGCACCCGAGCGTAGGCAATTCGCTTGTTACTGCTCATCATCCAGATGAAGACGTCCGGGATGCTGTGTTGGGGCTGGGTTGAGAGAAGCATACATGGGGTCTTGAGTTGGAAAGTGTGAGATAGGACAGAGTGTGTATGTATGAGTATGTATCTAGGCTTGGAGTGGGGAAATAGGTGGGGAGCAAGTCATGATTGGTGGGAGGCAGGGCTGGAAAGAGACAGATGGGGAAAAAGGAAGACAGCACCTGCTTGGGGCTATGGGAAATGGAAGGAAGCCAGGAGAGTCCTGTCTCCTCTCTATGTATCTTGGATGCACCATTTTATGTGCACATTGTCTCTTCCCATAAAAATGTGAACTTCTTGAGAGCAGGGACTGATTTGTAACTCTGGCACTTAGCACATTGCCTGGCCCATAAAAATGGCTTAATAAATGCTTGTTAATTCTTGCCTGATGGATAGAATACTTGACCTAAGTTTGGACCAAGATAATCCAGGGAGGATTCCAGAGTCCTAGAATGTTAGAGTTGAAAAAGTTAACTTTGATGAATAAGGAAAGACCCTTAAGGACAATCCTATTCCATTTCCCTTCCATTTCCCTCAGTGTGGAAAGAATTGGAGAATTAACATTTTTCTTTGGTCAGAAATGAGGTGTGACTACCTCTAAAGGTGGAGTCCTTGACCTTTTTTGTGTCATGTACCCCTCATCAGTCTGGTAAAACCTGATACTGGAGTGGTTGCCATTTCCTTCTCCAGCTCATTTTACAAATGAGGAAACTGAGGTAAAGAGGGTCAAGTGACTTGCCCAGGGTCAGACAGTCATTAAGTGTCTGAGGCCAGATTTGAACTGAGGAAGATGAGTCTTCCTGAATCGACTGCTTCTCATGACAATGTTTATAAATATATAAAATAAATGCATAGAATTACAAAGGAAACCAATGATATTAAAATAGTTATCAAAATATTAAAAAAAACCCCAAATCTACACACCCAGGTTTAAGAACATTTGATTTAAAGCAACAAGTCCAGTTTTTTTGTAGGGCTTGTACATGATCTAAACAAAATGTCCTCTTTTGGGAACTGAAGGCAGTTCTCAAAGAGGGACTGCAAAGATGTTTTGAGGGATAGCAGCATGAATGGACTGAACCCATGGTATGTGCGCCAAGCAACCTTTTCCTTAAGTTGGTGCATGGAGCTTTGCTAATGTAAAGGACTTATGGCTCATAGGAGGCTGGCCCTGAAAGTTGGTGGGAGGGGACCAGTTTTGAAACGGAAAAGATTACGAATAATATAATGATATTGGAGGTACATGTTCCGGCAAGGTTGATGGGAGCAATGCCAATTAGTTCAGGAATGCCAACTAGTCAATCCCATTCTTGCCTCTTGCTGCATATGTGACTCCAGGCAAGGCACTGACCTCTTTAGCGCTTAGTTTCTTCTTCTGTAAGATGAGAGACAGTTGGGCTAGATAGCCTTGGTGGTCCTTTTGATCCACTGAGTGGTCAGTGGTCAGCTCTTAATCTATGATCCTATATTATTCCAAGAATTGATAGTTTAGGGATGTTTCAGAACGTAATTTCCCCACTTTATTCCATGACAATTCAGTTCTCCGTAAGTGTGTTTTATTTTCAAGTCAAATTAATAAGGATTTATTAAGCACCTGCTATGTGCCAGACACTGTACTAAGTACTGTGAGTGTACAAAAGAAGGCAACAAACAGTCCCTGACCTCAAGGAACTCACAGTCTTGACTTATTTCACGAATTTCAGAATCTCAGACTTGAAAGGGATCACAGCATCCATTTATTCCAACCCATATTTGAAAAAGAATCCTCTCTAGTACATCCATGACAACTATATCTCCAGCCTCTACTCAAAGACTTCTAATGGAGGGGTCCGCCCACCACCTCTCGAGGCAGCAAGTTTCACTTTGGGATCATTCTAATCCTGACATCATGCCTAAATTTGTCTTTTTATCTAAATTTGGTCAAACGTGTCTAAATTTGTCTTTCTACCCACTGCTTTTCATTCTATCACCTGAGGTCAAATTGTGCTTAAGTGCTGCTAAAGTCGTTTCCAAAAGTCTAGTCTCTTAGGAGTGCACTATGGAGAATAAAGGTGAGGGGGTGTCTCTGCCAGGATTGAATATGGTCTGGTGACATCAGGAGAGAGGTTAGAAAGGACGGGCATCTAGAAAAAGAACTGATAAATAGAAGTATGTATAGAATAATTTTACATACATACATACATACATATATATGTATATATACCTATTTGTGTCTAATGGTAGTCATCTTTAGGGTAGAGGGTGGAGGGGGAAGAAAAAAAGGACAAAAAAAGAAATTTACATTATAACTTTGCTGTATATTTGGAGGGAATAGCAAGTTGTACATGGCACATTTGTAGTTTAATATGCAATCATCATTTGTATTATACTGTATTATGGAAATGCTTGTTTTGTTTCGTGAATTGAAAATAAAATAAATTTGTTATTAAAATAAAAGAAAAAAAAAGAAAGGGCTGCTGCTCAACATTTGGGCAAACTGGCCAGAGAAGGTGAAGTAACACAGTCAAGTAAAAAGAGTAGAAAAAGAAGTAATATCCCAGATCAGGGGAGGGTTAGGGGATGATGAATTCTGGAACTCCCTTCCTGCCTAGAATCTGCTTCCTGAGAGAGCATCCCCAGATAACTACTTTGAAATTAATAATATTCATGTGAATGCATAAATGTATAAATTCTGGTATTGGTTAAGAAATATTAGTTTTGTTACTTCTGCTACTATGTACGTCTTATCTTTCCAACTTGACTATAAGCTCTCTGGATTCATGGGATCATGATTTTGGAGCTGGAAGGGACCTTAGAGGTCATTTAGTCTAATTTCTTCATTTAACAGAAGAGGAAACTGAGGCCCAGGGAAGTTAATTTTAACTTGCCCAAAGTCACACAATTTTCCAGGTCTATCATTTACTCCCATTGTGACTCTTCCTAGAGGGTGAGAATGATATTTGTTGGATCTTACACCTTGTCCAGGACCTAGGGCACTATTAGGCTAGGAATACCTTCAATACTTGTCTAATGGACTCCCCATATCCTTTACCTCATCTGACAGAAATCGAAGCTTCTGGAGGAAGTTCTGTACCAGCTTCAACTTGTCCCGCACAGTGTGCCTCTTCACCTGAGCCCTCAGCGCCTTTGCCTGCTGCCCCATGCTCTCCTGTGTGTGTCAAAAGACAGGCAGAGGACAAGAGGGGCCCCAGAGGCCAGGGAGGGGGAGAGGCACAATGGGAAAAGATCAGGAAGAGTCTGGGAAAGGTTAAGGCAGCCTCATGGTGAGTTCAGGTAGAGACTCCTGTACCTGTGGGAATGATCCTGGGAAGGGGCAGGTGTGAGAATGCCAGAGATGGACAGGATCCCTCTCTGAGCCTGCAGGACCTAGTTGGGGCCTGACACCCTTACAACTGCAGCCTATTCCCCCCCTACCCCCCATTCATTAGTTTCTCCCTCTCCCCTGGGTCTGATGCCCTCAGAGTTTTTTCTTTTTACATCCTGACCAGTCATCAGGTCCAGTTCCTTCTTAGCTTTTCTCCCAAGCCTTCCCATTTCCCCCTCCCCAGACCCTTCTCCTTACTTGCTCATGCCCCACTCCACCCCTTCACTTCCCCAGACCTTGGACAGTTTCCTGCCCTCACCAGCTCCCTCATGCAGGACTTGAGTCTCTCCCTGTCAAGCCTTGTCCGAGATAATTGGCTCTGGTCCTTGTCAGCAAGTGAGAGAAATCGACTGCAAGAAACAAAGCCAGGACCTGGGTCTGAGTGAACCTTCTTGGAACTCATCCCATTCCTACTGCCCATGTCTATCTTGGGTCTATATGGATGTCTCACTGTCTATCTTTCCATGCCTCATCCCAGTGTCATGTTGCCCAGCCTTGTCCTCTGTACCTATCCCCACTCCTACCAGCTTCTTTCCCATTCCTCTTCACTTGACTTCCCCAACTCATCCCCATTTCCCATTTCCCCTCCTTTGACTCCCTCACCCCTAAATGTACTCCCCCTTCTCCCTGTTCCTTGTCTCACTAGCAGCCACAGCTGAGCTCTTCCAGAACACCTCGGAGACGACGCTCTGGGTAAGACTTCTCTGTCTTGATCATCTCTTGTACGTCATTCAGACCCTCCTCCTGGGCAAGGGAGTTTAGAGGAGAAAGCAGGACAAGAAGTTTAAGTTATAGTCTTTATACCTTTCACATCTTTGCCAACTAGATGGCAAGATAAGTTGAGATGTGTTTTTAAGTGAATGAATCAAAATTGTGGATCCCAAGCTAGTGTCTGTTGTGTTTCACAACAGTATTGACTGAGCTCCCCTCCCTGGTGAGGCTTTCTATTGTTCTGATATCCGAAGGTATCAAGGCGGGATGGTCTCCCCATACCAGTTCCAAATGCTTCTCCATTTAGTACTTTCTTCCTGCTTTGGGTAATGGAAGGATAGGATGGGACTAGAGGCATCTCTGTGAATCCAGTGACCTGTCTTGCCATCCCTGTCAGGGTATGGTGGCATCAGGGTGTTGTAATTACACTGTTTTAGTTAGGGTGTTTCAGAAAGAAGATCAAAGAATCTCAAAGCTGAAAGGGCCGTGGAAAGCATCTAGTCCAATCCTATCATTTTATTGATTAAGAGAAAAGTGGAGGTGACTTGCCCAAGATCCCCCAGAGGCAGTTAGGACTAGAACTTGGGTCACCTGACTGCCACATTGGTCTTTTTTCCACTTCCCTTCCAACTTCCCTCCCTGCCCACCATCAAATGCACTGACCAGCTTGTCTGCAATACGGTCCATGATATTGGCATTGTAGAGGCGGCGACGCTGGTCCTGCCACCAGCTCTTGATGTAGATACAGGGCTTGCGGTCCAAGTAGGGCAGATGGAAATAGTTTCTGGGGTGTGGGGCAGAAGTAAGGGGATGAGCTGAGGAGGAGGCTGAGAGGAAGGATGGAAAGGAGGTAGGATGGTCTAATCTGCTGTGCCAGTAAGAAGCAGGGTGAAGGCAGGGTAGCCCTGGTGTGGGATAGGTTGGTTCTGGGGTGTGAATGGGATAAATACAGAGGGCATAGGGTTGGCAAGTGGTCAATAAGAAGCCTGTGCACAGTGTACCCTCCTACCACTAACATCTAGCCCCCTACTACCCTCTTCTTCTCCTTTCTACTCCCCTGACCTAGGTCTTACCTGTCTGTGATTTGGGGCCGCATTGGAGGTGAGGAGGAGACGGACACCAGATCTCCACCCTCGTCTCCTTCATCATCACTGGAGTTTTGGATCAGGTCCACTTCTTCCTCATCCCCACTCTCCTTCTTCCTTGGACGTTGTGGTCGAGACATCCCATCTACCTGGTTGCCATAGTTCCCTGGGAGCAGAATGAGGACACTGTGATTGCTTCCTTTATGTGAGGGGAAGAGAAGGTACTGAAATTGTTCCACGGATGGCTATCATCACTCCAGACCAAGGCTCCTATCTTCCCAGCTGTCTATTACTTTGGGATTTAGGGAGGAAAGAGAGAGAAGAGGTGGGGAGAAGAGGAGAGAGGGAAGAAAGGAAGCTAGGTGAGTGGTTTCATCAGTTTCGTAGCAGAGCAGCATTGAATGAGAATGTGAGCCTGCTTTTCCTTCTCTCTGCTTCCCACTTGCTCTCTCTCCTCTTTTTTCTTCTCTTTTCTCTCTCTCCCTCACTCCCAAATACTAACAACATTCCCAATTCTCCCCAAAAGCCCATCCCAAAGGCCAAAGCTCAATTCCAGTCTGAGATGTCCCTATATCTATGCAATCATGTACCCACCTTTGACTAGGATCTCAACCTTTTTAAAAGGGAAAGAAATTCTTTCCCTTCCTGGTGTTCTAGTGATGACTCAGCTCTCCTGTTCATCTGGAGAACCAGACTCCTTTACCTTTTGGGTATGTTTTTATGAGTGTGTAAGTGTATGTAAAGGAGTGGGAAGAAGACAGAATGACAAGGGGCTTGGATTAGTGTGTAGGGTTCTGAGATAGGGGGTCAGTAGCTATTGAACCTACCGTGGGTGCCGCACTGACCTATGGTGACTTCAAAGGTGATAGGCTTGTCTCCATTCTTCCGGTCGATCATGGAGGCCTCCAGGAAAGCCCCAAAGAGAAAGAATTCTTCCATTTTCCCTGTGCAGCTCTGGTAAGGAGGTAGGGTGAGGGACCGCTGAGTCACAGCCTGAGCAGAGAGGTTCTGGGACCAGGGCATCTCCCTCTAGCTTCTTATGGGAAGAGCCTTCACACTGGGGATATTTCCCTTTAACCTCTAAAACTTGGCAGACAGGATTCTGAGGTTCCTACCTTGACCTCCAAGGTTTACAGAGTTTTAGGGCTGAGTTCTTTCTCCAGATCAACAGAGACCACTACGGCTCATAAGAGACAGGAGTGAGTGGCAAGGTAGGGCTCAGGGTTTCTGTTGAGAAACTCCCACTTGGATTTGTCAGCATCTAGCTACCACCTTATTGAGATGAGCAGTATTCTCAATGGTCTCTGGGCAGAGGATAGATAAAGCTCAGGACTGGAAGAGTCATCTGGCAGAGGGATGCCAGTTCTCCATCTGGAGGCCCTGGCATGATTCAGGGGACTGGCACTGGGGCTCCAGGAGGGGAGACCCTTGGGGACTGATATTGTGCTAGTCTTGGACAAAATGGCATGTAACTCTGACCTAGACATACCCTAAGACCCAGTGGGTGGTTAACACATAGCCCTGCTAGACTAAAATGTACAAGAAGTAGAGCTTGGGATGCTGAGTGGGTAAAGTCCCATCTCTAGGACATGAAAAGAGTGAGAGACTTGGTTGAGGTGGGACTGAACAGAATGAGACTTTAGGATATAGTGGAATTCCAACCTAGAGGCATGGTCAAGTAACTAGACTCACATCAGCAACCGGCGTGGCTTGTTCCACCTGCACCTCAGTCGAGCTGGTGAGCTCAGGGTTGGAGGTGTCCAGTATTTCCACAGCTAGACCCAGCATCAGGCGGGCTCGGAAGGACACACCTTCACCCAGCCCCTCATTCAGGTCCTGGTGCTCATCTAGCAGGGTGTAGTTTCGAGTGGAACCATACATATTCACCCAGGCTGGGCCCAGAGTGGGCAGGAAGCCTGAAACAGGAGAAGCAAGGGTCTGGAGAAGAGCAGGAAGGGAAATTTTCCATAAAGCCCAATTGGGAAAGAGGCTCAGTCCAGGGTGGGGCTTGCTGTTCCCCCTCTCACTTCATCCTTCCAACTCCCTAGCCTCCTCTGGCCTCTATACAAAGGAGAAGAGTTCACCCAGGAAGTGGGAGGTTATTCTTTGTAAAGACAGAGCGATATAGTGGGAAGAGCACTGGTCCTGGAGTCTGAGGGCCTATTCCAGCCCTGTCACTTACTACTTGGGGCAAATCACTTAACTTTCCTGGGTCTTAGTTTCTTCATTTGTAGAATGAAGGGGTTGGACTAGAAAGTCTCTAAGGTCCCTTCCAGCCCTAAATCTATGATCCTATGATCCCCCTTTCAGCTCTGAATACATAATCTTATGACAAGATGTGCCTGATACATAGTAGGTACTTAAAGGATTGTTGATTGGTTGATATGGTTTATTGATTGACTGACTTAGAGAGGGCAGGATTTGGAATTTTCATATGTGAAAGGACTTTCTTGGACTTCTCTTTGGGAAACGGGGCAGGGGGATTCAAACAGTGTTCAGTAAAGCTCTCTGTTGTATGGCAGCAGGGTGGCCTGTAAGCTAATGAAATTGGAGCCCTGCCCTCAAGGAACTTACATTCTGAAGGATAAGCTATTAGATAAGAGGGAGTGTGATATAATGGGTAGAGATCTGGCCTCATAGTAAGTAGAATCTGATAGATTCAGAGTCAGGAAGGACCTGGGTTCAGGGCCTGACATATTCGCTGCCTCTGACACATTTACTGAAGGACCTTGGGCAAATCATTTAACCTCTCAGTGCCCCTAGGCAACTCTGTAAAATTATGTTGCAAAAGTTGCCATTTGCATTTGTAGAAGGAGTTTATAAGATCATATTTTCCTCATAGAAAATTCCCTATACCAAAGAAATCATTGGTCTGGATCCCCAAACTCCCCACAAATGTACGAGATGAAGATAAACTGAGAGTGGTGTGGGTGGGGATGGTATTTTCTAAGGTGTCTTCATAGAACAAAAGAATCTTAGAATTGAGAGAGACCTAAGGGTCATCTAGTCTAATTTGTCTTCCAAGTGAGTTCTCCTGTCTGTTATCTGGATTGCAGGGGGGTAGGGGTTGAGGGTAGTTAGGTGGGCTCCAGCCACTTCTGAGTGGCTTGAAAGTCACTCTATTCCTTGACCTCTCAACATTGGTTTTTACTTCCTTTATTATGTTTAAAAATTATTTATTTAATCATCCATTCATTTATCTATCTATAAATGTATATATATATACATATACATACATATATATGTATATATTATATATAATATGTATGTGTATATATATATATATATATATATATATATATATATATATAATGTATATATGTTTCAGGTTTTGCTGGCAAAACCTTTTCACCATAAGGGATCCACCCTGCTAACTTTGCCATGACAGCTCTTGGCTGTGACTTTCCATTTACCTCAAGGATTTCATCTACTTCCCTCCTCCCTGCTCCTTATCTGACATCAGCCTCTCCCAGTCTTTGCCGCTGACCTTTGTCTCCGTCATTGGAAATCTTTCTCAGGTCAATGAAATGGGTTCCAATGGCTACATCATTGACCTTGTCTGAGTCCCGGATCTGCACCTTCATGCGTTTGCAGAGTGGGGGGAACAGGTCTGTGAAGATGATTTGTTCATTCCACAAGGGCTCATAACTGCTCTTCTGCACAGATGTCTTACCCTGTCCAGATGGGGGAATGATGGTGGGTCAGAGAAAGGAGGAGAATATACCTCATGTAAAACTCATCCACCCCCCAATTTTTATCCTGATTCTCCCTTCTCTGGCCGCTGTGGTCTCCCCACTCTCTTAAGTTAGGGGATCTGACTCCTGTGGTGTTTTGAGATCTTTGCCAAGTCCAGCTGGGACTGTTTCCTTTTGTTGTTGTTGTCAGCTTTGTATCCCTACCACCTAGTACACTGCCTGAAACAGAGCAGGAACTTAATAAGTTCTTGAATTGAATTGAATGTTGAGGGTCCAATGAGTTCATAATCTGCCCTGTGGGTTTTTGTATCCTCAGGCCCTACTTTTCCAATCTCTATTCCTCTTGATGTTCTCATTTCTCTAGCCTCTCAGACTCTTGATTTTATTGCTTCTCAGTCCTAGCTCTACAGCAGGAATTTTTAAAACCTTTTCTCATGTCATGGCCGCCTTTGGCAGTTTGATGAAGACTATTGACCCTTTCTCAGAATAATGTTTTTAAATGCAAAAAGTAAAATGAATGGGATACCAGAGGAAATGAATTATATTGAAATGTGGTTATCAAAACATACACAGACATCTCTGTCTCTATCTCTGTCTCTGTCTCTGTCTCTATAGTTATATCTATCTATATCTACCAAGTTCATAGACCCTGGATTAAGAACCCTCACTCTAGAGAGAGGTTCTAAGTCCATGGAACGAAAGATAAGACCTTGCTTTCCATCTGCCTTCCTCTAACCACTAGGTCCCCTGCTAAACCTATCACCTAAGCTTCAAACTTCTGTTTCCCATCTCTCCTCACCCCCAACTATTAGCATCTTTCCTTCTCAGGTTACCTCTCTGAGGCTACCTTTATATGCCACTGTATGTAGTTTGTCTATGCATAGTTGTTTGCATCTTGTCTCCTCTATTAGACTATAAGCTTCTTAAAGGCAGGGGGCCCTGTTTTGCTTTTCTTTCTATCCCCAGCACTTAGCACAGTATCTGGCACACAGCAAATGCTTAATAAATGTTTAATCACTGACTGAACCACTGATGCCTTGAACATCCCCACCCCGGGTACCTTTTGGCCAGCAAAGAAGACTTGGACGTAGGGGTCGACGAGGTCCTTATTTTCACCGATGAATGCCTTTTTCACGTTGGCCATGAGGCTCGTGTTCATGCGGGGCAGCCCCTCTGCCCGGTATATCTTCACATAGAAACGGGCCCACTGGCGCTCGGCGGGCACCCCATCGGGGAGCAGTAAGTTCCTGCCGGCACATCCAGCTGGGGGCATTGCAGCCAGGCTCCCCTTCCCCCCTCAACTAGGACCTGTGTCTTTATTCTGCCTACCTTGTTCCAGATTCTTTGACCCGCTGGACCCAGGACTCAAATGTACTTCACCCCTTCTCAGCCCTACTAGTTTCCTTCATTGTTCTCAGATTTAGGAATCTGTATGCCAAATAGCTACCCTCTTTATTTCTGTTTGCCTTCAGATTTCTGCCCTCTGCCTATGGGACGATGGAGTAAAATCCCCAGGCTCATGTGTTCTTCCTTCTCTTCCTCTTCTATTCCCACTCAAATAGAAAAGGAAGCCTAGAATGAGGAGGACAAGCAGTGCGTGCCATGGGCCACCTCTGGAAGCTTGGTTGAGGCTTCTGAAAAAAAGGTCTGTATCCTCATGAACAGACAGTGGCTATGTGAGACTGCTGATGTAGATGGGATGGTATGGGAGGCAAGATGGGTTGATACCCTGGGGCCATATGGGGCTGCCATTCTAGGGGCAAATGTATTTCTGCTAAAGCAGAGGCAGTAGGAAGGGAAGGGCTAGATCAGGAAACCCCTGGGATTGGGATGAGATGGGAGTCCTCACCCCTCAATGTCATCCTCTTCGGTTTCATTGGCCTTGTGGGGGGTCTTGATGTTGTCTCCCTTGCCCACCACAGCAATGTCACACTTGACATAGCCCTTCAGCCCAGCTGAGATGTCATCTGGGTCTGACAGGATAGCCCACTTGTGATGGAACTGGTGTTCTGCAGATGGAGGTAACGGGTCTTGATGTTGCTCCTGTTTCTTAGAATTCCAACTTACCCTTCTTCTGGGAGGAGGGGCGAAGGGGAGGGCAAAGCCCTTTTAGGGAAAATGCTATAAGCTCCTGGAGCAAGCAGAGGTTATTAGCTTAAGGATGGCTACTGGTTCATACTCCTAAGCCCCTATCTATTCTCTTTACTATAATTCAAGTTGAGTTCATTCAGAGCTGGGAATGTCAGCCAAATTACCAGGATAGAGGAAGTATGACTGTAAAGTAAAGGGATTTAAAAAAATAGTCAAACATAAAATCCATATACCTGATTAATTGTCATCCCCTTAATAATAGCTAGCATTTATATAGCATTTTAAATCTTGCAAAGCACTTTGCAAATATTATCTCATTTTATCCTCATAACAATCTCAGAAGGTAGGTGCTATTTTTATCCACATTTTACAGCTGAGGAAACTGAGGCAGATCAAGGTTAAATGACTTGTCCAGGATCACACAGTTAGTAAGCATCTGAGGCATGGATTTGAACTCAGGTCTTCCTGACTCCACACCCATCATGCTATCCATAGCGCCACGTAAGTGCTTTCATGCTGTGGTTGTTGAACGCATCCTTGGAATGACTTTTTATGGAGCTGCTTCCGGGGCCACTTTATGAACCACAGAAGAGAATTAGTTTCATTATTTTGTTGCTATGCTTCACATTTATGTAGCTATTCCGTAGGTATTGGAAAACTTAGGGGACGTGGTCAACATACCTCACCATGCCAGAATCACATAATCTTCCCTGTTCATCTGAAGACAATCTCTGTAGTATTGCTGGGAGCTGTAGCTGACCCCTCTAAACTCATCCTATACCTCTGGAGTGTGTACAAGGACCTGAAAATCAATGCTTCCAATACTTTAGTGCCTTCCTTCTGAGATTATTTCCAGTATTTCCTGTACATTATTTGTACACAATTGTTTGCAGATGACAAATATAAGTTTGTGAGCTTCTCAAAGGCAGGGACTAGTTTTGCCTTTCTTTGTATACCTAATGTTTAGCACAGTGCCTGGTACATAGCAGATACTTAATAAATGCTTATTGACTTGACTGTTGCTGTCTAATTATCTTCCTTCCCAACATATGTCCATAGGTCTATGTTAATGTACACATATGGAAACAAGCCTATTTGCAAATAGGTCAGCCAATCTCCACATTGGCAGATAATAACCTCTCTGGGAGGAGCAGCTAGGTGGCACAGTGGATAGCACCAGGAAAATTCTTTTTTCTGAGTTCAAATCTGGCTTCAGAACTTCCTAACTATGTGACCCTGGGCAAGTCACTTAACCCTGTTTGCCTCAATTTCCTCATCTGTAAAATGAGCTGTAGAAGGTAATGGCAAACCACTCCAGTATCTTTGCCAAGGAAACCCCAAATGGGGTCATGAGGAGTTGGAGTTGGGCATGACTAATCGATTAACAACACCTGTCTAGGTGCAGAGAAAAACCATGGCTCAAGGCTTAAAAATCTAATAAACTGAGATTGTTTTACTGATGTTATTATTTTGGAATCAATGATTTTAACTCACTACATTGCTCTCTAAGAGAAGGTTTGCCTGGAGTTAGGAAGTGTCCCATGTAAGTTTTACCTGTGACACATACTATCTGTGTCTTCACAGGCTATTAGTATCCTGGGCATCTCTCTAAAACGTAATTTATAGAAGAGCTGCCCATAAAAAGGGGGGACATTTCTACATTGCTTGTCTGCATGACAAAAATCAGGTCCAGACAAAACAAAGAGAGTTTAATGAGAGACAAATTGGATTAGGAGAACGCTAGACTGAGAGTCAAGAAGACCCAGGTTCAAACCCTGCCTGTGACACGTGCTGGCTCTGTGACCAACTCCCTGGGATTTCTGTGCTGGAGGAGGTTGCTGCCTTATGTGCCTTGAAGTGATTGAAATAATTATATTGGTATGTGTAAGTATATTAATATGATAATAGAGTAACTAATAATAATAAAATAGCTATGATTATAGCATATATACTAAAGGTTAAAATGGCACTAAGACTTTTGGGACACCCCAGATGTAAGGAAATCAGTACTATCTAAGACAATTAAATTAATAAAACTATTTCATTTAACTTATTCATTCATTCATTCATTTATTTATTCTTTTGGCTAGGCAATGGGGTTAAGTGACTTGCCCAGGGTCACACAGCTAGTATGTGTTATGTATCTGAGGCCGGATTTGAACTCAGGTCCTCATGAATCCAGGGCCGGTGCTCTATCCACTGCGCCATCTAGTTGCCCCTTTCATTTTAAATAAATATTTTTGGGAGGTTAATTTCTTTTTTAAAAAACTTATTGCCTATTGATCCAATAAAGAGAGGTCTTTTCCTTGGCTTACTTTGATCTTTTTTTCATTTATAATAATTTTTTTAAGGCAATTGGGGTTAAGTGACTTGCCCACAGTCACACAGCTAGTAAGTGTCAAGTGTTTGGTCTGAGGCCACATTTGAACTCAGGTCCTCCTGACTTCAGGGCCGGTACTCTATCCATTGTGCCACCTACCTGCCCCCATTTATAATTTTAAAATTAAATTTTATATTCATTTCTAATGCTCGCTATCCTCCCTTCCCCTACCCATTGATTTAAAAAAAAACCCATTACAAATATATATAGTCAGTATTAGCTTACTTTAATTCCCTGTTTTGAACTCTCAATAAAAATATCTTTAAAGTGAACTTCATTACATTTTAAAATCTGGTATCAAGATTCTCTCTGGGGGTAGCTAGGTGGCGCAGTGGATAGAGTCAGGAGGACCTGAGTTCAAATCCGGCCTCAAACCAAACACTTGACATTTACCAGCAGTGTGACCCTGGGCAAGTCATGCCACTGCTAAGTACACATGTTGGCAGAGCTCTTTAAACCTCAATGCCTTAGGGAAAAACCCTAGCTCCACCCCCTACTTGTGGTTCTGATAATTGACTGCTTAACCAACTAAAGTTCTCTCAAACTTGTCTGTTTTACTCATGACCAACTGTCTCCGACTTAATGTGGTGAAAATGAATGTAAAACTATACATTACAGAGAAAGTAACTTTTGTCTTGTGGAAGCTCAGAATGCAATGAAAAATTAGGAGCAGTGGGGATGTCTAGGAAAAGTTGCTGCATTGCTTGACTATGCATATGCCTCTTACTGATTTAAAATAGGCTAAGAAACTGAGTCTCAGAGAGGTTAAGGATCCCATACTTGATAAAATAACAGATTAAGACTTAGAAGGAACTTTAGAGAACCATCTAGTCCAACCCCCTCATTTTACAGATAGAGAAACTGAGGCCCAGAGATGTTACATGACTTGCCCAAGGTCACACAGGAAGTAAATGGCAAAACCAGGATTCAAATCTAAGTCTTCTGACTCTAAATTCAGTGTTATTCCCACTGTACCATGTTGCCTTCTATCCCTCTAGTAGGATGGCTCTAGTTGGCTCTTTGAGGGAAGGGACTGTTGATTTATATTAGAACCAAGGATTGATCTGAGATTTGAATGATTTAAGCTGAGAGCAGCCAGTGGGACTCAATTTCGAGAAAGGATTGCAGAAAGGACCTGTGTTCAAATCCTGCTGTTGTCACTCACTTGCCTTTGTGAACTTGGGCATGTCACTTAACCTCAACAGTCCTCAGACATAAAATAATGGTCTTAGGTGGTCTCAGAGTCTCCTCCAGCTTTAAATCTATGCTCCTATAATTTTATGGTGGATTTTGAATGGCATCCCAGTATTTGCCTCCATGTGTCCAGACCTGGCCAGAGAAATTGAAGGCAGTTTTATGGATTCTGTGTGCATCTCTCAAACTGAACTGTATTCTATCACTGTCACCAGGGACTACCACCTCCCTTCCCCCCTTCCCCCAAATCAAGACAGATGGGTTTTAGGTAACTCATTATCTAAGATCAAGCTGGCTGTGGGCCAGATTTCACTGCAGGATTTGGTAAGGATGCTAAACCCTGGAGGGAAGGTGGTAGATTTCTTAAAATTGGAAAGCCTAAAAGCCAGTTGTGTGCTAGAGCCAGCTAGAGTTGTCTCATGAGAAGCAATTGCTAAATTTTCAGGGTGAGCATTTACACCTTAGAAATTGGTAAGTGCTACAAATCAGGGCTTGATTTATTGTTTTGCTGATTCCTAGACTTACAAAAAGTGATGGAGAAAATGTTAGTAGTGTGGATTAAGCTTTAAAGTGTTTGGGATACGTTATTTTTTTTTTTGAGAGCTGATTATCAGCCATTCACCCTGTAAAGAGCTACACTTCTTGGAATAACCAATACTCTCTGAATAGAGAAACTCCATCAGGGATGATGGCCAGCCAGTGCCAGCTTGATGTTACCTATTTTCACTAAGCCTAAAAAAAAAACCCCTAAGGTCGTAGTATCAATCTCCACTGGGAAAACCTTGAACAGAACCCAGAATCTTCATTGGTCACACAGGCAAAAGATGCTAATGAATTCTGTTTCCCCAGGGAGTACAACATCACATTGACTCACAGAGTCTCAAGGTTGAAATGGCTCTCAAAGGACATTTGTCTTCTAGGCTTTGAATTAACTTAACCCATACCCATAATGAGAATCTCTTCTACAATATAACAGACAAGTAATTTTCCAGCCTTTGCTTGAAGACCTTCATGGGGGTGGAACCCACTACGTCCCAAAACAGCCCATTCTTCTTTGGGATAGCTCTAATTTTTAGGAAGCTCTTCCTGATGCTTAGCCTATAATTGTCTCTTTTCAACTTCCTCCCATTGCTGTGAGCTTTGCCTTCTGAGACTAAGGAGAATAATTGGTCAAATCCCTTTTCTGTATGACTACCCTTCAGAATACTTGAGGCAGTTCATAGGCCCTGCCATACATTTGCTCTTCCTTAGGCTAAATTGCCTATTTCCTTCTACTCATCTGATCCTCATCTAGTGCTTTCTCAAGGTCCTTCATCATCCTCCCTCATTCTAATCTCAGATAAA